CTTTCTCTCTGCCTGACCGTTGCCTCTCTGTCTCCTTATGGCTGCCCGTCTGTCGCCGTATAGTTCATTTATGTTTCTCTAGGGCAGTGTCAAATAGTCAATACTGTGGATGTGTCCCATAAGTTCTCTTATAGTCAGTCTGTTGACCAGACCTACTCTGGGATCATCTATCTCTTTGTCCCTCTGTTAGTCAAACAACAACCGTCTCACTCTCTAATTATCTTTGAGAGTCGCATTTAGATGTGCTTTTGTAGGCCTATCTGTCTGGTTATGTGTCTTTCTCTGTTTGTCTGTCAACTATCTGGATGTCGTCTGTTAGACATTTGTTTATATTCAATATCTTAGCCTAGTTCAAATGTATAAGATTATATTTGGTTACTGTGATATCAATTGCCATCATTACTTTGATGTTATTGGAATAACTCGAACTAGAAGTAAGCATGAGTATAAAATAAGACCTAAAGTTGCTCGTACAAATTATTTTAAATATTCTTTTTTTAATAGATATATTAACGATTGGAACTGTTTGCCTTCTGAAGTAATGTCATCCCCTAGCCTTCAGTCTTTTAAAGTTTCACTAATTAAGTACCTCCGCTCATAATTACCCCAAATACCGGGTTTTTTTTTTGTTATAGTTTTTTTTTTTTTTTTTTTTTGGAGGGTATGTCTTAGCATGGGAATTTAGTTTCCCCCTACTACCGTCCTGTCAACCATTTTTGTACTTTTGTTCGATGTATGGTTACGAACTGTGATTAAAGATTAAAGATTAAAGATATTTAGTATTTAGTGGTAACTTGAGTTCAAAGTCCGTCGTTTAAGCTATCGCGATGAGTTTCCAAATTATGACCGCTTTGTCTAACTTCCAAAAGTTGACGTGCTTAGTTTGTGTGCTGACCTTGCCTTGGACCGACACGAAAGCTGTTGTTTTTGCTTACGCTCTCAAAGATTAAGTTGGTTGATCGGAAGCATTAAGTACATTGTTGTTAATTTGTGAGATTATTGTAATAGTGTTTGGGTTAGAGATTCGAGAGTCCCTTGTGCCTTTCGTAAGTGCGTGTTGCGGTCTGCCGCCAGCTCCTCCGACATTGCGACCCAACGATATGTTTCATCTTAACAAGTTTCTCATGCATGTTGTTATCTTTACAGCTTCCTCCAAGCGAACCTACATTTGCCATAACCAAATTACTAATGGAGCACGATGCAGACTTGACACTTGTAAACAAACACGGGAAAACTCCAGTACAGCTGTGCAGAGATCCACGGCTCCGAGAGATCCTGTTACCTAATAGCATAGCAGAGGACGAGTGAGTAGAAATAACATCCGACAGTCTTTTACCGACCAAATTTGTCACGTTTTCCTTGCGCATTAATCCCTTCCACTCTTAGTCATTTTTATTCCTTCGTTGCGGTTCGTATTTTTATCTTCAACCAACCTAACGTTTGCAAACTCCTCCAAGCTTCCTCATATACATGTAGTTTTAAACGCCGTAAAATAATTTTCAAAATATTGCGTCGTACTCCTTCAAGCTCAGCTACCGAATAAGGAATGATATCGAATTTGTTTGTCTCGTGCGAGTGTCGAGATGTAACAGAGGAATGATCGAAGTTATGAGTACGGCTGTGAGGGAAACCTCGTGGCTCAGAGAAGTTTTCGTTTGATTGTGCGTATGTTTGTGTTTTTTTTTTTTTGCAGTGCAACGCCGAAGAAATCTCAGACATCAAATGGCGCCTCTCCGCATGCATCGTCGAGCTCGACTTCTGGAGTTTCCATGGAAACAGGCCGCAAATGTCGTGTGTGTGATTTACCTGCTAACGCAACCTTTTCCCCGTGTGGTCACTTGGTCGCTTGCATGGATTGTGCGCCAATGCTAAAGAAGTGTTTTCTTTGTAAGGTAAAGTACAAAGAGCATAGGCATATTTCGTGGATTATGAAATTTCAATTTTTTCCTAACAGTAATGGTCAGAATTTCTTTGCCCCGTAGTAATAATTAATTTCCTCCCTCTATGCTTTGCAGGCTGTGGTTGAGTCGTTTGCCGAAGTACACCAGGGAGGGGACAGTGTGGAATGCGTAGTGTGTTCAGATGAGCCACCCTCTGTCAAGTTTGAACCGTGTGGGCACATGATAGTTTGTGAAGGTACAAATTTTTTTTTGACTGCGTTTGAAGTTTTTATCACTGATACAAGACTTCAATCCGTGAGTGAATGACAGAAAAGTTCTCTGGTTATACATAAGCCTTAAGGTGACTCCAACCCCCCACCCATTCTCTCCGCCATCCCATTCATGTAAGATCAGAAATTGAAAGATCTCTTGGGAAACCCTTGGGAGGGGCATGTTTTTACTGATCACTTTATCTCTTAAGTTTTTATTTCATCATATCTTCCCGTCACTAGGATGTGCCACACGTATGAAGAAGTGCCTTAAATGCAAGAGGGTTATTGAAAAGAAAATATCCAGTGGTGAGTAAATGGGATCTTACATTTTGCTGCAGTAGATCGTAATAAATAAAAAAAAAAACATTTAACTTTGTTCCCTTGGGGAATGGAGTCAAGGATTTTGGAGATGTAATGTCGGAACCTTTTTCAGACTGTTTGATAATCGAGAGGCTTTCATTTGTCTACATTTTTAGGCGCTTGAATGTCAAAGACTGCGTGAAATATTCAATAGCATTCGAAGGCTAAAATGTGAAATTTCAAGCGAATTTGGAAGTCTATGGAAAAACATACAGTCGTGGACATATGCATTCCATTGAGAATACAACAACGTCAGTGAGTGTAAGGCAGGCCGTGTAAATACTCAAGACAAATAATTTTTCCGGCGATTTTTAAAATTTTCTCCTTTTTCTTTCGTCCGTAGGGAAAAACGCACCTGCCAAACCAGCAGAATTAAGCGAAAACGATGAAAAATACTTGGAAACACTCCATTCTTTGCTGTCGCTTCAAGCTCATGTACGAGAGATTGAAGATGCCAACATGTGCGCCATTTGTCTTGAAAAACCTCGCAATATGGCGTTCCTGTGTGGCCACGGCACATGCGTAGAGTGCGCTACGACACTAGAGGTGTGTCCCATGTGCAGGAAACCCATCACTAAGAAGATAACTCTGTTTAACTGATCAGAGTGCACAGGCAACCCATCACGATGAGAATGACGCTGTTAATAAGAACGAAATGTTATGGTGAAATGAATTTCTGAGATCACATGTTACAAACGGTAACTTGCGTTTGGGCAAATCTTGCATCTAGACATTACCTATGTTTTGTCTAAAGCTTAAATTTGTTTGTCAAAAACGCTTTCTTTTGTTCAAGATAACTTCGAAAGGTCCATATATTTGAGCAGGATTTCGATTGCTTTGTCGGTTGAATTCCTCTTAGTTTGAATAGATAAATATTTTTCAGAGGATTGCTTACGTAGATTAAGACAACATAATTGACATAAACTTCAAGGTGCGTTAGTTTTGGAAAGAAAAAAAAAAGACACTTAAAAGTACGATAAAAAATAGAGGAGTTGCAAATACAGTTCAAAAGACTGTTCGGAAGAATGTTCCGAGGGCTGTTCGGAAGACTCTTCCGAAGACTGTTCTTTTCGACCTGAATATAGTTCTTGCGAATTCGTTGTTCATAATCTTTACCAAGAAATAATACATGGGACTTTAGACACCTTGGTAGCGAAAATAGTAATGAAAGACGGTCTAGAAACTTTCCAAAAAACGTACGGGTTTGTTAGTATAATGCTTACAACTGATTGTGGTTTAGAAACCGCGAAGGGCTTATAATTCCTTGTAATTAACTGGAACTAAGAAATATTCTACATCAAAGCTCTCAGATGTTTTAGATTTCGCTAAAAGAATATATAAATCCCAGCCCAGACCCTTGGATGGAGTGTTCCTTGCTGGTTCAACCAGATTGTTACGTTACGTCACCGATTGAGACCAACCAGGCTTACCAGATTTCGCATGGGCAGGGCAGCTCGAGGGAAATACAAGGGACTGGTGAAAAGATCCAGTTTAAAGGGTTTCAAGGTCTTTCAGTTATTAACCAATTGAGGAGCTAATTTCAGAAATAGATCTTAGCTTTAGAAGTGTGTTAGAAAAAATACGATTTAGTTTAGCCCCGTTGACAAGTTGTTTAATAATATTTATCCGACTCTAATATCTCATTTGCCACTGATTTTAGCTGGGCTTTTGATGTGGCAATTGAACGATTTTGCCTTTTGACCAGTACACACAGTAGTAGTGTGACGCGTTCCAAATCGTCTCTTGTCTCTGAAGAACGCGAATCCTTAAGTCAAGGAATGAATTTTGTCCTATTTTAATTTATCGCGAAATGAATTCCTGTTTGAACATAATTTATTATCGAGGCTAAATGCTAAGTTGGTGCTCTTCACTTACCTCAATACAGCTTGAGATTGGTATGTGAGCCTTTGATGTTTTTAGATATATATATATTGCTCTTTAGTTTTCATTAAAATGATTCTCAACGCACAATTATGCAAACACATGTTGTGGTTCTGTTTAAGTGTGTATTAATGTAATTGTTTGTGTTATTAACCATTCTTTGGTTATCCCTCCTCACGTGTAGCCTTTTCTAGCCGTTCAGTTAGTATATCGAAGCGAAAAACTAGGCGGCGTAATAATAGCGGCGGAGCGAAAAAAACTATGAGGCTTGGGCCGGGTCGCGTTGAGGAAGGAAGTCCGACCCAAACCTCCTACAATTACCCGACCCGACCCGACCCAGACCTCTCATGCCTTCTCCATCCGTCGGTAACTATTGCACTTTGTTTTACCAACTAGTCTCCTGGAACAGCCAACTTCACGGGTAGTATTGTACCTAGACTTTTCACGGCTAAGCTGTCACATTTCAGTTACAGTCACACGGTAGGATTTGGGTACGAGATTACCTCTCGGGTCATTGTTGGATCACTAAATGCATACGTTACTACAGATCAGACTAAAACTCGTCAAAACCCCTAATAAAGTGAATAAACAGGGACCTAGAGTCGAACGTTTATTTTCACATCAAAAAATAATCTATGATCTTTTACACCAGTGTCTTTTGAATAATTTTACAAAACAAGACATGAATTTCATAATTTGTGTTCAATTCTAACCGTCGTTACTGTATTTGTAATCTGTTATGACCAGAGATTTACACTGGACTAGGAGAGAAGGGTGATTTTTAAAATAAGAAGCTAATCAAGCGAAGATTGAGCGTTTTTTTCTGCAATATACAAGAAACTAAAACTTGCAACTAATTGGTATAATTACTCACTCCAGGGTATTCGATATATTTGCCATGGTTCATTTTTTATCATTATATTTCAGCCTACCACCGTGAAGCTTAACGAACTGTTGACTCGCTATTGCTTGTCTTTATAAATGTGAATGCCAGTTAAATGGTTTCCTTGGGTAGAGATTAATTCACTCTACCGATGACCATACCATCTTGACTCAGGATATCAATTTCTCAATCATGACCATTATCTACGCCAATCAGTTGCACAAATACTGACGTAAATAATGCGAAAAGAAAGGCCTTACTTGTCATACCCCTTTTAGGACTTTACATTTTAAAAGAAAACATTCCGATCCCATTTCAAACATTACGTTACTATGAAGTCCTGAGAGGAGAGTCCCTTTTCTTTAAGGCCGTGACAGAAAAGGCCCACGTCGTCCCTTTTAATGCTGCAGTAGTAATTTAAAGCCCTTGGACCGTACATGATTCGTCTTGAGGCCCTTTATATTTTAAACTGGAGTTTTTTCAGGCCCCTTAACATTAAGTATAGAAACACAATAGAATAAAATACAACTACAAAGCAGGAACCAAGGACTGCAGGATTATATCCTAAAAAGGAACATCGAAACCATGAGCGAGGCTGACAAACTTTCTCTCACGCCTACATGCTGAGGATTAAACAGTGAAACTCTCTTTTGCCGCCACATTCTTATTGCAGCCACTTTAAAACGAAAAAATATCAGTAAATCATAGATTATTCAAAAACCCCATTACAAATATTCATCATTTTCAGATCAGAGAAGCTCCATTTTAAAGTTAAAACGAGGCACTCAACCCAATGTTCAGTTTTGTACATGGTATAACAAATGTTGCCGTATCTATTTTCTCATCCTCCTTTTCTTTCTTTTAATCCTAAACAGTTATACTGCGCTGTTTTTCATTCGCTGAGATGTCGCTTTCTCTTTTTCTTCGTTGACTCACTTCGCTTCTTCTTCTTTGTCACATGACCTAACACTTCCAATTCTGTCTCCTCAAGCCCAGGCCCCGAACGGAAAAACTCCCTTTCGTGCGGGTAAGGGGCCTCGGACCTAACATGCACCTTCTGTGGTGAACTTACAACAGATTTTTTCTGTCCTTTTTCATCTTTTTTGGCACCAGGTGAGGGAATCGACTGACGAGCAACGGCATCTAAAGTAATATAAACAAGGTGAGACGTGTTATAAGTAAATGCCTTATCATCCACAACTATGTTAGGGACAACATCAAATGCTATAAAACTAAGGAAGACTGACGAAGATAGATAGAGGAATAAATAAAAGATTTACCCAACAAACCCTCAATAATGTCTCGCAACACGCCTTGACCCTAATAAGTTGCTATCAAGGCTCCAGTTTAACCAACGTTGATAACATCTTTAATCAAAATTATAACACAATTCTCGAACGTGATTGGTAATTACCAGCCCGATTTGAGCACTAATAGAACAGAGTAAGCGTCATGCTTGTAATTGGACAGTATAATAGCTCAGTTTAAGGGACAGTTGACTCGTCATGCCTGTGTAAGTGGACAGAACACGTCATGTGCGCGCGCTGTTGTCTCGCATTTCGCCGAGTTAAAGGTTGTTTTGTTTTTTTTTTTGTGAAAACGTATAACCGATGTCTAGTTTCTTTCTCAAATTTTGTCATAATTTTGATTAATTGGTAAAAGGATTTTTCGTCGTCCAATTCTGTCTTTCATCATAATTGTACTTAGCACATCGGACTCCCGCTACGTGGTCGTCCGATTTGATTAATCACTCTTATGATTACAGGCCGAATTCTACTCCATTCGGTCCTATTACCATTATTTATCATGACCGTTACAATTTCCTCAAATGTGATTGGTGCATTAGCTGTTATACTTTTACTTAATATTCTCTAAAGTTGTAATAGGACAGTTGGTTGTAATCCTGGTACACCTCCTGTAATCGGACAGTTAAAGGAGCCAATCATACTAAGTCCACTCAGCTAAATCCACCAATCGCAGAATTGATTGCAATTACCATAGCAACAACTACTTACCCTACTAAACTGGGGAATTAAAAAAATGGAGTTTTTTTTTACTTTGGACGATGTCACTATCGGAGATGTTCTCCTATATGAATATGCACACTTTTTTTCGGAAATTATAATTGCTATGATTAATTGGTAACATGACTTTTTGTCGTCCAATTCTGTCAGTTGTCATACTCGCGATTGATAAATTGGAATTGAAAAGACCGAATTGGACTCCACTCCGTCCTATCAAGCCATTACGAATATTTGAGAGAGGAGATAGTACACATCCTTGCCAATGGAAGAGTAATCACCTGTAGTGGAAGGATCGGTACAGGCTGCTGGTTCCACAAACATCTTTTCTTTGATCGGTTGGCATCCCCCACACGACCCTCCACATTCACCGTATGCCATCATTCCGTCTTCCGCCTTACGAACGCTCAGCAACCGCTGTGGTACTTTTGGTGTGCCCCAGGCCTCCCAATCTACATCTTTACGCATGCGTAATCCCGTGCCAGAGAGATCCACCTGGAATTTACCCTTTTGGCATTTGGACGCAGCTGAGAAGCAGTCTCCCGCGCGAGCAAATCGAACCGGGTTGCCCTCGGTCTTTGCAAACTGGAAGTCCTCTCTGTGAACGAGACCCGTCGTGGGATCGACACGAATTTTGTTAAACCTGGCATAAAAAAAAAACCAAGAATGTATCGCTTGCATCAGTTTCATATTTCTCTCTCAGGTTTTCATGAATTTTCATGTTGGAAGTTTTAGGTCGTCAGTTATAAGCAAAACCCACCTTGTTGTTCCCCAGTAGTTCGCCGTCAGTTTGGGTTCAGGGTTGATAGAGCCAGAGCAGGATTCATAGTTGAGCAGCCTACCCCTGTAAAAACTAGCGAAGTTCCTATCGGGGCCAGCTGGCAGAGTAATGTACTCACGGGGGGAGGCTGTATCGAGGCCATGGCAGTACAAACGAATAGGATTACAAGAAGGAGTCATCTGTATGACGTATTCATCATCCTTGAACCCAGGCCACATTTTCTTGACCTCAGTACAGCTCCCTAGTTGAAAGCAATATATTGTAATGAAAATACTTCCCGAAAAATGTCCTGAAATTCAAAATTTTGCTGCACTGAAAATAGCATATTTTCCTGAATTAAACAGTGTTACTTACGAGGAATCTGATATTGCAGGCTTGGCCTTAGAATCGGTTTCTCAGAAAGTACCGATGGTGCATTAGGGCACTCCAAGGTGAAGCCAACGGATAAGGAGTCCCTGTTAATTCCTTCCTTGTGCAGGGCCTCAATCCAGTAATACTTGCCAGCCTCCAGTGGAATGTAACCAGACTGTTGGTAGGGATGTCTGGGAGAGGAGAGGTGAAAAGCATGAAAACTGAGTTTAATTCAAATTAAGATCGCGCGAAGTTACCAGACTATAATTATGTTCCCAAGGCTGCTGTTTAAAATCTGAGATCAGATAAATTGAAAATAGTTAAAGTTAAATTGAAAATAGCACAATGAGCGAAATTCTCTTTTAAGAAGAATAACCTGGTTGTTACCAAAAAATAGGGCTTATCCATTTTAAAACGTAAAACCTACTCTGCAAACTTGTTGTGCCCAGTTCCTCTAACCACGGCAAACAAATCTTTGTCTTTTTCCCTCGACGACCCACTAAAGAACAACTCAGCTTCATCGTTACCAGACAGAGAAAACGAGTAGGTTCCCGTATAGGGCGCCACGAAGTAGCCTCTAATTCGGGAACCGTAATCGTCGCCCTCGTTCTTAGGTGCGTCGAAGTCCTCAATGATGGAGGCCTCAGAGGGGTTGTTTGGATAGTCTTTCTGCGTGGCCAAGTCCGTTATAGTGGTGCCTTTAACTCCGCGCCAGACTTCCCGCTTCACGCCTGGGTACGGACCCACAAACTTGGCTATTATAGGAAGGAATCATAACAAAAGTAAGTGACATAACATGAACTTTGAGAAAGAAGGCACGTGACAATATTTGAGATTACTCCCAGTAGTTCCACACTGATGACGTAAAACCACGAGTGGTCTCCGTGATTAGCTGTCACAAAACTAGCCAATCGAGGAATTTTTTTCAGACCTGCAGTAGAACGTCTTCAATACGAATGTTCGTTCCATATTTAGAATTTGTTTTAATTGACGATGAACTTACGTATTCTGTGAGTATCCTTGAGGGTCACGATTTGATCGTCTGGGAGAGCACAGGGGAAGATATAGAACTCATCCAGGGCACCCTTGAATTGGCGTCGAGGCCCCTCATCGTCGTAAAATGTCCCAATATACGCAGCCTTACTCCAATCTGTGTTCAAAGCTTCAGTCTCTTGTGCATCCGTCTGTTCATAGTTCTTAACAGCTCGTCCATTGATGTAAATTGCGGCCTGTTTGCTTTCAGGATTGTAAATTCCCGCCAAGTGAACCCATTTATTTTCTGGGATTCCCTCAATAGTAGTTCTCCCGTACACTGTCTTGTCCATATTCCGTTGGAAGAAGCGAACTTTACCCTTGTTTAAGATCTCAAAGTGGTACTGTCCCTGTTTCGAGGGGTCTGTTATTCCAGGTGCTTCCGTCACGAAGATCTCGTTTATGTTCGGCGCAGTCACGTTCTTAACCTTGACCCATGCTGATATAGTAACACCAAGAGTCGGCTTACCCTGTAGAAGCAAGTAAGTAAGTAAAGGCTTTATTTGAAGAGGGTTTGATTAAACAGAAGTAAAAAAGCACTAATAAACTCGTGGTCATCGTTTCACTATAAATTACTTAAAAGTCGGTGTTATAATCAAAAGCACAACAAGCTTTTCTTTCACTGAAATTACATAGTTAAAAAAATCACATTTCAAGTGACGAGGGAGCTTTCTGATCATTTAAAAATATCTCATAACTTATATTTATTGTTTTTTTAGAGGGCACGGTAACGAATCTTGCAATCTGATTGGTTCTTTACCCGGTCAGTATTTTCCTATCTCTGCCCACGGGCCACGCTAACGCTTTCGTGAGTCGCCGAGTACATCCCAACTTTCGTTGTCATTTTTCATAAATATACCTCGTTTTCCGGCTGGGCAGTATCTTTAAGCAAACACGTCGGTCACTACCTCAAGCCGATAAATAACTTATGAATCCTCTCTTTTCTCTCTATCAAATCACTTTGGTTGACAGAAAAATATTGGTTTCAGAATGAATTTGTATAAACAATAGTGTCATTACGTTGGCTGACAAGCGGCCTAAAAACCGTCTGCAATTAATTTTAATCGTTCACAAAAAGTACCCAGAAAGTTGAAACGTGAGGTATTTGGTTACAGTTAAACTGAACGATGGAACTTTCATTCATTTAATATCTGAATTTTCTCGAGCAATTTGTTCATAGTGAAAGAGCGAGCGAAGTTTTAATTTAAGTTCTACAACAAATATACGCTCCTGGCGAGTCTTTCCAATTCCGTTCAATTCGGACATTTGTACCTTAAATTGCACAACAGAAATTGAAGGAATTTTTTGAGAAAAGGCCGCATTACATTCCTTGTGTCTCGTTGGAGTGTGCCGTTCGAATTTAGTTTTTGTGAAGGAAAGATCAGAGTTAAACACGCCATTACAGCAAACAAACGAGCAAACTCTCACAACTTCAAAATAAAAAAATTGAATTTACTCACAATTACTTTCCTCGCCGTTTACTTAATGAACAGAGGTAAATCTTCGTACATGAATGAATGGTGGATGAGAGTGAATAATACTTTCCGTTAGATCATTAACTGATTTTGAAGAAAACATTGTCGTGACAGTCCTTGCCAAACTAGTTCTGTTGGTTTTCAAATGTTCGTACGCTTTTTTTTTTCTTGCCCGCTCTCTAATTGACAGGTGTCAGATTGTGACAGATACTTGTAAAAATAATGTTTCAAAGTTTGTTTGGAAGCCTTTTAAATCACCTTTATCGTTACGGAAATGAAAATATTTCGCTTAGGCATCTCTCTTAAATTTGCATCACCTCTATTTTAATTACCATTTACCCACTCCAAAATTGTTCAGTTTATGGAAGATCTTGCCGTATTTACGTCCATAAATCATTCGGGTTCTTTCGGAAAGAATTTCGTCAAGTTTAAAAACAATAAATATGTTATTTACCGGCTAAGGGTCGGTCCGTATGGTGAAAAACTGTGACCTCGGCCTTTTCAAGACCTCGGTCACAGTTTTCACCATACGGACCTCCCAGCCGGCAAATAACATATATATACTGCACTTGATACGAGCCACTGATATTTTCTTCCTCATACTTGACTCTATAGTGTTCCATTTCGTAATTGTCTTACTTTAAAAGTTATCTTCCCTAAGTTTCGTTAAGTACTTTGGACAAATCAAAGTTAAGTTGAATACATTCCTATGATTTTATTGTATCAATATGATGCGTGATTTATAAGCTTGTCACGCTAGTCACGCTATACTCTTCATTTTAACCAAGTTTGTCAGACGTATCCTCCACCAAATTTCAAGTTCAAGATTTTCTCTTCTGAGATATGTCGCAAATTCTCAAAGCACCTTACCTTGAAATTCATTCCATCCAACTGAATGAACCCGTCTGATAAGTCTACACCGTTGTCTTGGTTGTATCCCGGCTCAACAACCACACTCCCGCGGGACAGCCCGTTGTTGCCAGAGCCCGACTCGTCAAATACTTCACCCGCGCAAAACTTGTCGAAGTCGTAATACAACACGGGTTGACAATTGAATGGGTAAGCTAGAAGGAGAGGAAAGCAAATACAATTTTTATCACTCCAGAAGGAAAAAAAAAAAGAAAGCGTGCGAAATGACTGGGGTTATCAAAATTATAAGGACTAAGATGCTATTTTTTGCTAGATGCTATTTTGCAATGTTGCGTCACGGTTGACCACAACAGAAACTAAAAACGTCCACTCACGTGTTCTCTTGTACAAGTTATTCATGTGTGTTGCAGCTGCTGCGGGCTGGGCGGGAGCTTGGGTAGGAGAAGCAACTTTCTGTTGCACAGAGGGGACTGGGGAGGGAAATGGTGCTTGCGGTCCACTCTCGCTTGTGGACGGGAACCCTGCCGCCACTGAGGAAAGAATACAAGATAAATCGTTTAACGGTGCGAAAACGTAAGAACTGGTAGCATGAACATAAGTCTGAGTGACTCATGTTCGATAAGAACCAACACGCAAAACACTCGGAACTAACAGGGTTCGACGCAATCGCCAAGGATTCTTAAAAAAATCTCTTGTCTAGGATTTTCCTGTTTCATATTTTGAATATCAACTTGTATCTTGAAATTCCAGTGATCTCCTGAGTAAATTAAGGTAAAAATCCCAAGACCAGTCAAGGCAAAGTAATTTGAAAAAAAAAATTGCACCATCTTACCGTTACAAATAATCTTGGTCACTTTCTCAGCTTCAGCTGGAGACTGGAGATCGTTAACCCGTACAGCATACTTAGGCTCCGTTGTCATTGTAGAAAGTTCTGATTCAGCAATGCTTGGGCTGCCTATAGCGATCACCTGAAATAAAAAAAATAAAAAAACCAACAATGAAGATTACTGATTTCATGCTTGGAACACAGAAATGGTCAGTAAAAACTGTAGCAATGACGTCATTTCCTCTTTACTCCTTTCCATGTTTCTTTACCTTTACACCACTGATTTCCAACTGCTTAGCGAAGGACTTTAGGCTCTTGGCGGCGTTAGTGTTGTGATCGTTTTGGGGTCCAAGCACCGTCACCACAAGGGCCTTGGGGAGATGGGTCCTCACACCGTTAGACTTTGTGAACACCTCGAATTTAGCCATTTCCAACAAAATGACCTGTAAATTGATCGCAAATCCTTATTTCAATAAAAAAATGCCTTATGCCTAGAAAACAAACTTGAAAGACAGCATCCTAAATTAAAAAGGCATGCGATGACATAGAAAGGTATCCTTCACGTGTTTTATAGTGGGCTCTCTTTGCTATTCACATCATCGAGGCAGCAACCTTGACTTACCAGATTTCTATTACCAGGATCACGTGGCAGGTCATCAAAAGCCTTATCAACCTCTCCTTTCACATTCCGCTCTCCAAGTTTCAAGTTGATTGAAGGTATAGTGGAATAAGCGACCAAGGCTGCATGGGTCCCGCTCTCCTGTACATTAAAACCATCAGCAACTTTCTTCATGAAGTCCTTCTGTTGAGTCCACTGGACTGGAGTAACGTCCGTGGATGAGTCCAAAGCAAACACGATATCCATAGCATATGGACAAACTGTTAGAAACAAAATAAAAATGCGATCTTAACATGGATTTGTTTCAGGAAGACCAACCACGTGACTACCATATGAGGTCTGCACAACACTTTAACCTCTACTGGACCCCGAATGTAATCACAGTCGCCAGCTGAGGCATATTTCACTAAGTGATTTTTTTCCACAGAGAAACATTCAGACTATGGCGTCTTTTAACCCATAGCTTGCATCTAAATTCTGGTAAACAGAGTACCCATTTTCTCGTCACTATTTAAGTAAAAGATGTGTTTAAGCTAAGTTTGTGAGGATACGATTATCCATTGAGTATCACCCGTTGACACATGTATATACATTACTTACCAAATGGCTGAGTGCTTGCAGGGCTCTGTGGGGTAACACCTTGGGCAGCGCTCTCAGCCGATTGCAAAGGCGCACTTGGCTGTGCGGGCGCAGGAGGAGATCCAGCTGTTACTTGCGGTGCGGCAGGCGGAGCGGTAGGAGAAGCGACAGCAGGCACCGCTTGGACAGCAGAAACATTCTGAGCAGGTGCACTCGTGCCTTGCGCCGCTGGAGCCACAGTGCCATTGTATACTGGTGCTGCTGGAGCCTGGGCAGGAGCCACAGTGCCGTTGTATACTGGTGCTGCTGGAGCCTGGGCAGGTTGTGGTTGAGCCTGCGGGATTGTGGCGTTTGCTCCAGCTTCTGTCCCAACTTGAACAGGAGCTGCCGGAGCGCTTGGTAACTGAGGTACCGAAGTCGGTGTCAAAGATTCGTTTGTTGGTGGAAGAACAGAGGTGACATTCTGCGGAGGAACTGTAACGTTTGAATACGTAGGCTCAGGCTGTTGCGGATTCACTGGCTGTGATGTCGTGACATTAGAATACACCCCCTGGGGAACACCCTGCGGGGACTGAGGGCCGACTTCAGGAGCACTTTCGTTACCGTTACTCTCTTGAGGCTGCTGAGGTGTTGCTGTAGCGTTGGAATAAACTGGTTGTTGCACTCCTGAAACTGGATTGACAGGTTGCTGAGGTGGTATAGCTTGACTCATCGTCGCTGGTTGTTGTGTAGGTGTAGCATTTGCGTAAACAGTTTGAGGGGGTTGCGCTGCTGCAGGAACCTGTCCAGCGGGTTGTTGAGGCGACGTTACGTTCGAGAAAACCGGCCCAGTCACGTTTGCAATCGGACTCGTTGGAAGCGGAGCAGATGTCACGCCTGTACTTGCAGCCTGGGCGGCAGAGGTAACCTGTTCACCAGGTTGTTGAGCTGAGGTTTCATTTGAGTAAATCTGTTGAGCTGCAACTGTTCCCTGAGCAGCCGGTAACGGCGCTGACGTCGCACCAGCACTTGTAGCTTGTGAATCGGAAGTCACCTGTTCAAAAGGTTGCTGAATTGCTGTGGCGTTAGAGACAATCGATTGAGTCACGTTTGTTGTCGAATTAGTTGATGGCGACGCTGCTGTTACACTAAAACTTGCCGCTTGAGGAACAATAGCAACCTGTTCAACAGGTTGCTGGGTCGATGCTGCTTTTGAAGGAACTGGTTGAGCTCCGCTTGTTGCCTGACTAGGTGATGGCGGGGTTGATGTGACACCCGCAAAAGCCACTTGTGGAACAGAGACCTGTTCAGCAGATTGCTGAGTTGACGCAGGGGCAGAGGTAACTTGCTGCTGTCCTGATGCCGCGTTCATGGAGAATCCTTTAGTTGGAGCATAACCCTGGCTTGTCTGTTGACCTTGCGTCGGAACAAAGCTATTCATGGTCTGTTGCTGACCGGGTGTTACTGGCATTGAGCTCACTCCTTGATATGTTGCTGGATAAGAACCGACGTGGAAGACTGGCACCCGGTGAAATGCGTGACCAGTGCGTTGTTTTTCGGTGACAATTTGATCAAGTAGGAAGTCTGGAGCTACAAAAACAACAAACGAAAATATATGAATTTTACAAAATTCTCAGAGGCTCACACAATGTAACTACAAAACATTTGTGCTTTGGGCAAGTTACAAGTAGCGCAATAACGGTAAAATCCTTAACAGGAGGGATATCTTGCGCAACTCTTATGAAACATTATACTACAACTGTGTATGAGCAATATATGAAAACTTGCGCACAACAACTTGAAGATTACATTTCTTACCTTTACACGCGCTTTTGACAACCTTCCCTGCTATTGTGATTAGATCGTTGTACGAATCCACAGAAAATGTGTGGTTTGCGTCTGCGATCTTTAACAACTCGTCACGCTGGACACCAGACCCCACTCCTATAGCTACTGGGGTCACACCACCAAACTTCAATCGGTGTACAATCCCAGCAATCTTTTCGTTATCTATCTTATCAGACAGCAGCACCACAAGTGCCCTCGTAACCTGATCACGTGACCCTCCCGCGGGAGTAAACAGCTCGTAATTGGCTATTTCCAGAGCGTCATCTAATCTCGATCCTTGGTCGCTCTTAGCTTCCGGGTAAATGTTATCAATAGCGTTCAGCACGTCAGACTGGTAAAAGTAACGGTTGAATTTCATCTCCATGGTGGCCTGCGACGAGTAGGACAAGACGCCCACGTGGGTACCAGGGTAAGAAATGTTGAACGCGTTTGCCACGCCTTTGGCAAAGTTCTGCACCTCTCGCCATTCCGTGTCGTTTATTTTGGAGGAAACGGGGAGAACGAAAGCGAGGTCTGTTGCCAGCTGGCAAGCTGAGATGAAAGAAAAGAACATAAAAATCAGTTCGCCATTACAGCATAAGGCGGATTTGAGGAAAAATTATATCCAAAAGTGAGTGAAAAACTTACAAGGACAATCCTGAATCTTGCATTTTCGTGTCTCGGTACCAGTTCCTCTACAGTTCGCTCCGGTTAGACATTTCCGTGTTCTCAAACTGACGCCTGTGCCACAAGTCTTCATACAAGGACTCCATTCAGTCCACGAGCCCCAACGAGCTGAAGCGGAAAAGAAGCACATCAACTTGATTATGATAAAGTGATTAGATTAAACCAGCAGCTTTGTAATCAACCTCTATATGCATCAGTCGACAAGATTAGATAGAATACTTACGTGGAGGAGGAGGTGGCTTGGCTGAAATACAGAAAAAAAAAAAACAGAAAATCGTCCTGTTAGTCCCTTTATGAAATTACTATTCCAATTTTCTTGTTTCAAAATTAATCAGCTTTCAGTCGAAAATCATGGAATGCAGCCACGCGCGAAACGATGCAAACAAACAGATCTAAAGGAGCGAATATCAATTGAATGTCGAAAGTAATCTGAAATGTTTTTTTTTAACTTTGCTTTGTAATTGGTTCAGAAGACATGTGCCATCCTCCTAACCAACCAGATGTAAAACTAAAAATTATTGCGACTTGGTCATTCGCGTTTTCCCGCACTTCAAGTAGTTTACTCGTTTTCACTCTGAAATCTCATTGTTGGCGTCCTTCTGTCTCGGGAGACAATGGAGTTGCGCCCATTGACGCTTTTTCAGTTGTCAGGGTTGAAAGAAAGAAACCAAACACAATCACATCATTCGTGCGAATTCCTAAACAAGTGGAGCCGTCAATACGTTGGGAACTCGCCGTTTATTTTTTATGTCTCAGACTAGCTATAAATTCGCTCCGAAAAAGGGAAGTAAAATAACCTAAATGCTCACACAAACTCATTAACAATACAAAAACATTCACCTGTACAGACTGCGTCAGCCGCTGATTTGACGTAACCAATGATATCATCATATGAAGCAACCAAAAATGCATGATCAGGATCAGACGCAAGCTGCCTCAGTTCGTACTGATCCACTTTGTCTCCCACCCCCAGAGCAACAATCGTGGCACCGTCCATATCCTTGAGTTCGCGGGCGCGTTGCTCGGCGCGCTTCGCCGTGGTGTCAGGCGCGTCTCCGCCATCGGTAACAATAACAATCGCTTTGGGCGTAAAGTCACGTGCGCCCGTTTCAGCGGTTATCAATCGATCACGTGTCAATTTCAGGGCGCGGTCCGTACGCGTGTCACCACGTGGCTGAGACATCGATTGAAGGAAATCGTCCATGCCGTCGTAAATATTTTTGTCCTCGAATCTCAATTCGAGATGTGGTAACGTGGAGTAGGCTAGAATAGACACTTGAGTCTTGTTAGGGGCGAGACGGAAACCACTGCTGACACCTTTGACGAAGTCTTTCGTTAATTTCCATTGAGAATCATCCACTGTGCCAGAGGCGTCCAGGACGAAAGCAAGGTCTACAGCCTTGTGGCAAACTACAAAGACAAATGAATATTTTTATTTTCCTTAATCACTCCTTCCCAACTGTTCCTTTCTTTGAGTTAATAATTGACTTGAAGGGTTGAGCATATGTGACGAGTAAGCTTAATTGTCATTTTAAAAACAAAAAGAACTCACAAATACTTTGTCACGCACCTGGACAATCCTGAACCTTACAGACTTCAATCTCGCGCGCGGAGCCCACGCACGTGGCTCCTCCTTGACATGTGCGTGTTCTGTCACGCCTTCCACCAGCACCACACGTCTTTGAACAAGCGCTCCAGGCGGACCATTCACTCCAGTAACCTACGGATTAGAAAGAACCATTTCTTAAACTCGATTCAAAAGTCATCTGAACTATGTGCTTGATTTTCTTGGTGATTATGGTAAAATTAACTTAAGAACACTGAAGGAGAAAATTTCAGGAAAGGATTATTCAGAAGCACCTTAACTCCGCCCCACAAGACGGCTAATTTGTCATCGATATTTTCTTTCAAAGCTAAGCTGAGTAACCTTTCGTTAAAATTAACCCTTGTAGTCACCGAAGTTCTAGGGACAGTTCTGAATCTGAAAAGTTAAAAACACAGTAATGAAATTACCTGGGCAATCATCTTCTTCACAATTGTGAAATTCTCTGGCAGGTCCTTGACAGAATTTTCCGCCATACTCGGGTACGGGATCGTTACACTTGCGCATGCGCTCTTGCCGACCGTTGCCACAAGATACTGAGCAAGGACTCCATGAGCTCCAAACGGACCAACGACCATTCACTAACAAAGAAAATTTCCTACTCAGTAGAAAACACTCAAACCATTTTTTTCGTTCATATGAGACAATGCTTCCTTTAAAATAATAAAATACGGGAATCATAAATTCATGGAATTTCACTTACATGGGCATGGTGTCATGCGACACTCTGCTGTCTCGTGACCCTCTCCTGCGCAAGGTTTCCCGCCATTAGAAGGAGCAGGGTTATCGCACGTGCGCGTCCTATGAACTGTGCCATGACCACACGTCGCTGAACACGTGCTCCAGTTCCCCCATGCACCCCAGTTACCATCAACTGCACAAAGAAAACAACAATAAATATTACGTTGAATTGTAAGCAACTTGGTGTGGGCTTTGTGCGGGAATTTCAGTTTACCATGATAAAACACCTTGGCTAACCACAAAAATGGTAACAACAGGAATAATACATAATAACCGCAACATCTCAGCTTGTAAGAGAATCAGGAACATTGTAGAGTCATTTTCACGATACATTTTTGTATATCCTTTCCATCACTTCCTTTTTGAGCGTGAGGTTCACCGACCATGATCAATCGACCTCTAATAGACTTCATATCTCTAGTTGTAGTAAATGTATAGAAAAGCCATTAAGCGTACTTGCGCATGCTCTCTTCTCACAACTTTCTGCGTCTCTGTCCATTCCAATAAACGAACAGTCCATTCCTCCAAAAGCCGGAGGGGGACTGGTACAGTTCCTTGTTCGGAACCTCTCGCCAGTCCCACAATTGGAAGAACAGTCGCTCCATTCGCTCCATTCTGTGTAATTACCTTGAACAGCTTTGACTTCAAAGGAAAAGAACATATCAGAACGTGAACAAGCTATCATGTGGGATAACTAGTTTTGGGATTTCATTGACTGACGAATTTAAAGTATAGCTATTAGAAATTGCTAAAAGCAAAGATTTGACACGCAAAACCTTGAGTTTCTCGAAAACCTGAGAAAATAAAGACCACCGCGGCGAGTTAAAAACATTGGAGATAAGATTGTATTGATCAGTACCGTAGGAAATTGTACAAATATCTCGCCTTTAGAGGTAAGCTTCTTTAGGGACTTTTGAGACAAAAACATCGGAAAAAAATTATGAAATTAAGTACAAAAAGCTTCTTAAGTATATATATTTGTGTCTTGAAATTCCTAAAGATTTTAATGACTTCCCCATCAAATTTACTCACCATCATCCAAAGAAAACACATAGTTGGAATTTTCCTGTCCGGCGCATTCCAAATTATTTCCCGTACACAGTTTCAACTCATTGTCAACACATCCTAACAGTGGTTTGGGCTGTGTTGGCGCCATGAACAACAGTTGTTCTCCTTCTTGGAAATAAGAGTCACCCGCTCGTTCACCGGACAAACATTCACCATAGTTTTGTAAACCAAATGTTCTGTATCCTTTTCTCTGAGTCTCACGGGCGCATCTGTGAAAGAGAACATACACAACATCTTGTTTACCCGGCCTCCAATCACATTACTTCTAGGATAACATTGTTCTTTCTGATAACTTTTCTGAGACAGGTCTTTGCGTATCTCTCCTGAACTCGAGTCAGATTATGCGGAAGATATTTCCAAAACAATTTCCCGATATGTTTTCATCACCTCAAAGACATTTTTAATTAGGTGGCGAAAGTAATTCCAGAGTGCTTTGGTTTTGCTTTATTTCGCTATGTGATTGGTCCAGAAAACTCGCGCCATTCTCTCAACCAATCAGATACAAAACTAAACCCAATTACTACTTGGTTACCTGCGTTTTCCCGCGCTTTAGTAAGTTTGGTTGGCTTTACGTAGATTCTTAAGGTATTTTCCTTTCTTCTAATTAACAATTGTTTTACGAAACTCAACCGAAAAGCGTTCTTAATCCAAATTCCTTGGACTTCTCGTTGTCTTCCTAGTACGCAGTCGATTTCAAATGTTCATTTACCTCTTACTTCCGTCTTGCGAAGGAAAGTACAAAGAGAGAGCGAAGACATGGGAATTAAACATTTCTTTCCGCCTTGTGAATCATAAAATTATTTTTTCTAGCAGAGAAACACTGGCAGAAACATTATTTACCGGCAGATGGCGTCAGACAGATAATTCGGCCAGTCTTTGAAGTCGATTTTCTCCTGTGGGTCACTGAACAGCTGCTCAGGGAGGGGTCGGTATAAGTTGTGATTATCGCGGTAACAACCCAGAGCCTTGTATGGAATCTCACCTGAAAAAAAATTATCAATATGTACACCCAAAATACGAAATCAAATGAGTAAAGGAAAGACATCAACTGGAAATCTAATGGTGAATATTTTGCTCTCACTAATCAGCAATACTGTTTTTAATAGAGTCACTACTGCATTTCACACTGATGATCCTCGCAGTACACAGACGCTTGTCTGCAGAATGTAGGACCATCTAGAATTTGTCTCACTCGATCCCTGCGGCCTCGGAGTTCTGTTGGTAGTAGCGCCCTAACTATGGAATATTTGAGGCACGAGTATGAATCCCGTCGAAGCCTGAAATTATTTTCTTCAATTTCTTTAATTGCAGCTTATTCGCGAGAAATTATTTCTTAAAAATCCAACAACAACAAAAAGAGAAGTCTCGTTCAAATTTGGCGGCTTTAGAATTTTTCTCTGCCCCGTACTCGTGCCAAAATAGTCTCTGACTCCTTTCTTGACTTACTTGTTATCTTTACCCAAAGTCGAATTACAGACTTATTGTAAACCCTCTCTACACTTACAGCAGTCCTGTAGCTTGCAAGCTTTCCTCTCCACACTATCCCCTACACAGTCAGGCCCACCATAGGAGGGTGGGGGCGCGGTGCAAGTTCGTCTTCTGGTCGTACTTCCGCTTCCGCATGATCGACTACAGGAAGACCAAACTGACCAACCGGACCAACCTCCGGGTTCTAAAGGAGAAGAGGAAACAAATGGAATGAAGGTCTTCCTTTTTCCGTGATGAAAACATTTAAACCTAAAACTTGATCATCCCATTCTTCTGAATTCACATAAAGCTAAATTCGATGCACGAGGTTAACTCCATTTTAGGCGTGAGAACGCTGTTGAAGGCGTAGTTAACATGATTGGTCACACGGTTGTATATGATTCCGCAACGCCATGCTATCGTAAGTATTTTATTTTAAGCAGCCACGACAAGAAGTTGCATTTCAAACCACTGATCCGTCAATGATAACTAAAGCATTGATAAAGTCACAAACATTATTTCTGTTATACTTACGTGCACACGGTCGAGTGTTACACACATCTGACTGGACCGAGTCACCCAAATGAGTGCAGTTGAGCCCGCCAAACTCAGGTACAGGGTTGGTACAGGCACGTGATCGTTGTCTATGACCACCGCCACAAGTGACGTCACACTCGGTCCACTTGCCCCAATTGGTGTAGCCGCCGTTAACTAAAACAAGTGAGAATGAAAATTACCCTTAAAGCTCACCTTATACAAGAAATCTTTAAATCTTCTATCGAGACTTGGAGCGTCTCAAGTTCTCTTCGCAGAATATCTCGACGAAGTTTTCCTTTTTTTTTAATCACACTGTCTAACTCGCGCTTAAAAATTAGAATATGCCATACCTCTCTAAAGTACAGTGCATTTGCTTGTCCTGTTCACAACTCATCGTTCATGTTTACTATATATTATTTTGCCACTTGAAAATGAACAGTGAAAGCCATGTGGCGCATTAAACTTCCAAGATATGTTCGTTAATTCTCCCTTCCAGTTGCTACGCATTTCCTTGCGTCACGAGGATTTGGCGTTAGATCAAGATAATGATTTCTAGCTAAAACGTATAGACATCATCGAGAGATGTTACATGTAAATCACTTTTGGGGGCAAAAGGGTTACCATCTCAACTTCTCACGAAAAGTTAACTCAGATAAAGACCCACCCATGCATGGCTGCAGCTTGCAGTATTCTTCCTGCTTCTCTGGGCCCTCGCATGTTTTTCCGGCGTGCGCGGGTGGAGGGTGATCACACCCGCGTGTCCTCGAGCGCTTAGCAGCGCCACACGTAGCTGAACACGCAGTCCAAGGAGACCACAGACCCCATTTACCGTCTACTGGGCAATCAGACAGACTGCAAGGCATGGTCTGTCTGTCTGAACCAGGGCAGTTTTCTCCTCCAAACTTGGGCGGTGGATTGTCACACTTGCGCATGCGTTCGCGCTTGCCTGGTCCACACTTGACAGAGCAGAAACTCCACATGTTCCATGAGCCCCAGTTTCCGTGCACTGAAATGATCGAGAAAAACTGGGTAAGTAAAGACAGACGATCAAAAGGAATTGCTTAGAGTGTGTCGGGTCGGCTGCCCTAACATTGTGTTTCTTCTTTCTTCGCTTTGCTCCGAGTTTAAAATGCAATGAAATATTACTGGAAAATTCATTTTGTCGGTAGACTAGAATAAAGAAAAGCATAATTCTTTAGGAAAATTATGATACCTGGACAGGACTGTGGGTTACAATGAACTTTCTCGATTGCCGACCCAATCTCTTTACAATCTCTGCCGTTGTAGCGAGGACTAGGGTTGATGCATTCACGCTTCCTCGTTTTGATGCCGCCGCTACATGATCTGCTGCACTCGGACCAATCTGACCATTCAGAGTAATTTCCATTGATAGCTGAAAAAAAGAAAAAAACCCTCAGTTTTAACAAGGTGCTATGGTACACTGCCCAACGTCGAAATACTTCTGGTACTCAACAAAACGTCGTGTTGATATGTATTCTTCACTGTGTAGAGTGTTCTTTGTTGCGTGCGTTGCTGTAGGAAAAATTGGACCAAAACAGCATCTTGCACAATTGTTAGGCCTATCACAGTTTTCGTGTCACGCCACATAGTACCAACAAGTCAGTGTTTTTAAATCGTATAACATTTTTGGTAAAGCTCAAAAAAAAAAAAAAAGAAAATGGTAGAACAACTGGCTACCCTCACGTTAATAGCCATTATGTTCGAGAAGAATCAAGCTTTTCTCTTCAGATATCTCTGAAAGTTTCTATTTTGGTTCACTTATTTTGCGATACAGTGGTTTTTTTCTTATACTTTCCTTTGATGTTTTGCGCGGGAAATAGGCATATGGCCAGCTAAAATTGATCCTCTCGCGCATGCCCGACGTTTGACTGCTGTGTTCAAAGTACCATAAGACTCTACTTACGACATCTCCTCACTGTACAAGGCTTTACTTCAACCTCATCTCCCTCACAAGAGTAACCACCGTTACTTGGTTCAGGATTCTTACAGACACGAGTCCTCAATTGAAGTCCATCCCCGCAGGTTGCTGAGCATGCTTGCCATGCACTCCACGCTGACCAGCTGCCGTTTACTGCATTAAAAAAATATTGTGACAATTCAGAAATATCACCGTAGATAAGAAAACGTGTGCAATAGTTTGTGAAACACGTATACGGCTTTTTTTCGGGGAGGTTTCAGTGCAGACTCTGCCGATGGGAAATTCTAACGCGAAGATGAGATTTACAATTGCTTTTGCACTTTCAAGCAAATAAACTTGCTACAGTTGACTATAAACCTTGTTACCAAAAACAAAGCTATTAAAATTTATCCTTAATCTTAACTCGTGCGCTAATTGACTCGTTCAAACTTACCAGGGCATTCTCCTTGGTTACAAGACAACTTCTGTTTTGCCGGTCCCAGGCACACTTGGCCACCGTTAGCCGGGGCGGGACTGTCACAGAGTCTGCTCCTCTCTTGAAAACCTTTGCCACACGACTTTGAGCACACGGTCCAGTTGCTCCACGCGCCCCAGGCGCCATCAACTAAAAATACAAACAGGAGTTAACTTGGAAATCTGTTATTTTTCATGCAGTTATCTGAGACATCTGAGGAAAAACTGCTTTCCTCTAAGGGAGAGAACATACAAATCGGAGAAAAAATCCAAATAAAGGACGAATAACGGTAAAAAAAATTAGAGATTTCAAGTGGTCCAAAAATGCCCTCTGTTTTGCGTGGGTTTTGTTTTATCCTTGTATAAGAAGCGAGCAGCAGTTGGAGGGCATGACAAAGCGAGAGTAAAGAAAACGCTAGGCAAACTCTCCAAGTTCATATTCTGACAAACGTCTGGGATAAAAGAAAAGAGAATAAAAATGACTTCGCCGAAAGTGGGAACAAAAAAAGAACTCATCACGGCAAACCACATTCTCTTTACATTCATGACCTCGGTTTTACGACGTAAAGAAATTCGAATTCCTTTAACATAAGCCAATGTGAAACAAAAAAAGTTTGTCTATTTCTTGAACCCACACTCTTGAGGTCGTTTTTCCAGAGCACTATCCTTATCAACATTAATAACATGTTCCTTGATGAAAAAATAGAACAAATGAAGAAAGAATTTATCTACCTGGACAAATCTTTTTGGTATTGCAAGGCTCGCTTTCCTGAGGCTCTCCAAGAGCGGAACAGTCCTTGCCACCGTACTCAGGGACTGGATTGGTGCAGTTCCTTATTCGTGATCTCACACCGCCAGCACACGATTTAGAGCACAACGTCCAAGGGGACCAAGGACCATAGTTTCCATTCATGGGTTGAACTGTTAAGAAATAGAACATTAAAAAATTCATTCATTGTTTATTTTGTCTTAAAATTGATTTTGCTGCTCACTTCCCTCAACCTTAAAAAAATGGCTGTACTTCGCTCAGAACCATTTTCACGAAAGCTAGTCAGTCAAATTTGTATTAGATAATTCAGCTTACATTCCCGTCTCCTCATAAAATCATTTAACCCTTAAATCCCTTAGAGTGACTGACATCTAAATTCTCCTTACAGGATCACCCCTGAATCAGACATTAAGGCTAAGAGAATAAATGAAATGATCACCAGCTAAAGAACATCTTAATTGTTAAACATATTCTTCTTGTCAGAACCTTGTACAGAAATGTACAGAGAACAGTGTGGAGAATATGCATACTGATGTTAGGGTGTACAGGATTACGAGCGAAAAAGTGCATCACCGAAGAATTCTGCTTCCTTACCCTAAATGAAAACAATTCAAGTGAGGATAACGATAGAAGTTTCGTTTCAACACGTTTTGCTTTCCATTTAAGAAAAATTAATTAATCTCGTGACATTTCAAGGAGAAGAGCTCCTAACTTTTTTGCGAGAAATTGAGTTTCTTTCATTCAAATTTTACTCGATAACTGAGGTCCTTACCGTTCAAAAACGCGTAAACAAAGTTGCTTTTCTCCTGTCCAACGCACTGCGCGTTTCCACCGCGGCATCTCTCAAAGTTGTCTCCAACACAGCCGACCCACGGCTTAGGTTCGGGTCTTTGAGTGAATCTGTTCTCGACCCCGTCCCGAGAATACGTTTTAGCAGAGTTAGGTCCTGACCAGCATTCACCATAACCTTGGATACCAAAGTGAGTGTAGTTCTTCGATGCGGCCGCTTTGGCGCACCTAGAAAAAATTATGTCACAGTAAGATCAACATCTAAATTCTGTCTGTCAATCGCAATTCTTCGCTGTGGATGGTGAGTGATAAATATATAGGAAACGATCAATTAGGGAAATTCATAGTAATGTAAAGTCCTCATAACTGATTTTAAAGTGATATGTCACATTTAAGTCTGTATTCCCACAAGTCACAGTTTGGTGGGGATTTTAAGAATTCCGTTAAATCTGAATTCATATTACGCTAAACACTGAAGTAGATTTTGATTTTTGTAATCTCTTGACTGTATTACGTACTGAGCTTAAACTGAGGCCCAAGATTTCTTGATCAATAACTGGGAAAAGTAAACCAAAGCCAATACACTGTAAGTTTATTTTCGACGCTAAATTGACAATTACACTATCATTGTCAACAAAAAGGAGAGACGAGTCACTAACCTACACACCAGCTCTGGCATATACGCTTCCCAATCGTCAGACTGCACGTTAATACCGCTGTACAAGGTGCTCTGAGGATCATTGTCCGTGAAAACAAGCTCGGGGAGGGGTCGAACAGACAATTTGTTATCCACAAAGCAACCCAATGGCCTCATGGGTACATCACCTGCAGAAACGAATATCAATTCATAGCACAAATTTCAAATATGTTCTTGTTTTAATTCCTGAGATACAAGTTAAAACAGTCACGCCTCGGAACACAGGAAAAACTTACAGCATTCTCCCGCTTTACAGTCAATTGTTTGCGTATTCTGTCCAATACAATCTCTTCCGTCTTTGGATGGAGTTGGATTATCACATGACCTCACGCGCATTCTCACACCGACACCACAGGATTTAGTACAGGCAGTCCAAGATGACCACTCGCCCCAGTTTCCGTCGACTGCAAAATTGAAACAGGTGATTGAATAAAAACAATTTTTCAAGTAACCCATCAAGGTTACACTAAAATGTCATATGAACTTAGAATTTCCGCATGCCACTTTCATAATAAGACCCCTCTCAAGAATGAGATATTAAACGAAAATATAGCAAGAAAGCATCGCTTTTTCTGTCATGGATCAAATACATACCTACGCTCACCCTGTCTTGAACAACGACTTCCAAGGTGCAACAGTATAGTCAAACGTTTAATTTTAAGCCCCATTTTCCAATCGCCTTGAGAGATACGAGTGGTGTCCCACGACTAATAAGACTGACGCAGAACAGTTACTTACCAGGACAATAATCCTTCACTTGACATGATTTTCGTTCAGTATCAGGACCGAACAAGGAGCAATCTCTGCCGCCAAACTTAGGAGCTGGGTTTGAGCATGCGCGCCATCGCGTCATGATTCCCGTTCCACAAGTTTTGTCGCACACAGTCCAGTCTGTCCACTCGGTGTAATTACCATCAACTGATGGTAAGAAAAAGGAAAAAATTGTTTATTAACAAAAACAAGTTATCTTGGAAGGTTATCCTTAATTATAACATACAGAAACTATTTTGACATGTAGAACCATCTACAGAGAGAAAATCAGACGGACGAACACAGGGGGTGTATTTCTGAAGAAACTGTGGTGCTATGTGGGTGAATTTCTTTTTTTTAATTTGATTGTATCAACTGAGTTGATGACGTAAATTTGCCACCGTTAAGAGTTTCTAAAGCTGACGTTTCCAACGTAAGTCCTTCGTCAAAGCAAATAGAAGAATTACGGGTCTGGGAGGTTTATGCATTCAAGGATGGAGCGACACTATTAGAGGGAACACGATAAAGTGAAAACACAAGAATAAACTACTTAAATGAAAAGCGATCGTAGATACAATGTGAATTAAGGATTCCGATTTGAAACATGAATTTTTGTTCTGTAGTTTTTCAGATTCCCGAATTGCCTAGATGTGGGGAAAGACCGCAGACAGCCATCGGTTTAACAGCCGCGTAAGCAGAAAGACAGCGTGATAAAAAGACAGTAAAACAAGAGAAAATGTTGGCCAAAAATGCCGCAAAGGAAGAATTAAAAAACAAGTAGTGCAACAACCACAAAGGTGAATTAACGTGATATCACGATTTCGGCTACGCTGTTTTTAAAAATTTTTAATTCCACTCAGCATTTTCTTACCTGGGCAGGGTCGGTAGCTGCAGTCACCAACTTGTTTCTCGGCGCCGCGACAAGGTTCACCGCCATTTTTAGGAGGTGGACTGTTGCATGACCGCTTCCTCTCCCTAGTCCCCGGGCCGCAGCTGGTTGTGCACGCTGACCACAATGACCACGGACCCCAAACACCATTTACTGAACAGAAAACGCTCGTGTCAGCAAAACAAATTGCATCAGGATAATTGTACCATAAACTTAACTTTACTTAATGCTAAACAAAAGGAAACGAAAACAACACATTTCAAATATATCAATACAATGCTCCTGATTACCAATACGGTGCCAAAAAAATTTCGGCGCGAAAAGTTTGGAACGTGAAAAAGATCATTACTACTCACCTGGACATTCTCCCAGATTGCATTTCGTGGCTTCGGTATTAGGTCCCAAGTCCCTCTCTTTACATGTGAGCCCACCATATTCTGGTTCCGGGTTGATGCATGTGCGCGTGCGTTTTTTGACTCCAGGCCCACACGTGGCTGAACAAGAGCCCCAGTTGGACCAAGCAGAGTAATTTCCATGAACTAAAAAGAAACAAAAACGATCACAAATCACTGCGGAGATTTCATCACCGGAAAAAACCAAAGCCTATGCTACCAATTAATTCCTCCATAGCGCCTTATGAAAGAAGACAAACGCCAAGTTTGATTAAAAAAAGCATCTATTTCATCTTCTCGTTTTCGTTTTCTAAGTCTTTGCAAATAACTCTAAGTGTGTAATCATACTGCAACTTACTAGGACACTGAATAACTTGGCAGGGTCGGATATGTTCCGGATCTCCGAGGTCCGTGCAGTCCCGTCCACCATGTTGTGGCTCTGGATCTGTACAGGTTCGTTTTCTTGTTTGAATACCGTAACCACAGGTCTTGGAGCAGGCGGACCACTGAGACCAAGGACTGTACTTACCATCAACTACATAAAGCAAATGAAACATAGTTGAGACGGAAGAAGAATTGAATTCAACGAAAGCCTCATAAAAACATAAGAAATCTTGTCAGTCAGTCTTGCCAGTCGCATTTGTGAGCTGTTACTCATATAATCTAATAGGCACTCACCAGGACAGTTCACATCATAACACTGGACAATCTCCTCCCCAGATCCCAAGTGTCCACAGGCGACACCACCATATGCTGGCTCAGGATTGGTGCAGAATCTCTGCCTCTTTTTGATGCCACGGCCACATGTGACCGAACATGGTGACCAGCCGTTCCATTCAGTATAACCACCATTCACTATACGGGTAACAAAAAAAAAGGACTGTTGAATATGCAGTTCAACTAAGATTCCAACAACTCTGGAATAAGTGATACAACATGTAGATTAACATCATCCAAAGTTGTTATTGGTAATTCCGGTAAAAAACTGAGTAATAATCCGATTTTATTTACGTATATTTGCCATAAGTATATAAGTAAACAGTGGATAGCATTGAAGACGCGCCTTGATTCGAAAATATTGTAATCGTTGCAGGAATAAACGAGTTACTGAAATCATCTTTTTGTGCTATATTATCTCGCTATTTCAGTATATACTAAAACAGCTATTCACCTCAGTGTCGGTGGATATTTACCGGCCGCCGACCGTTATTAATTAACGAGCATTTTACAGCTACTGCCAGATAATAAAATTCACTTTCAACTTGGACCCGAAATTCATTGTCTTTTTTATACGTGAAAAAATTTCAGCTTAAATGTCCTTCACGAAACAAATTATAAGTGGTGAGTGCTTTTAGGCCGTGTTTTCTCCTATTAAAATGAAAAAAACAAAAAACCGGTGTGTTTACTCCTCCTCTGCGTTTAATGTTGTTCCAATACTTTTGAACTCATGTAATGTTGTTCCAATACTTTTGAATTCGTCACTGTTGATAAATACCTGGACATGGCGTCAGATAACATTGAGTTATCTCCATACCCGGTCCAAGGGCCTGCTCAGTGCACGATTTCCCGCCAAACTGTGGTTTGGGTGACATGCACGAGCGAGTTCTGTTCTTCTTTCCGATTCCACACGTGACTGAACACGGTGACCATGGTGACCAATCACTGTATTTTCCGTCAACTGTCAAGTATACGAATAATCATTAAGTTATTAAGTTAACAAATTACTTTTCCTTAAAATAAACGTGTTGAGAAATTCTGCACTGCAAACCATTTTTTACAACTGGGAAAAAAGTGAAAAGGCACTCTTTTACGAGTGCAGAGATCTGTCGGTATAAAGAACGCTGAGAGTGGCAAAGTCAGAAAATCTTTGTTGGCCAATTTACATTACAACTCAGTTGATAAAACCAAAGTATCTCGTATTATTCCCACCGACGCGGCAACTTTCTAGAAACTTAACTCCTTAACTCTAAGGATAAAAGATGATTTTTATTGCAGATTTTTACTTCAACTGTTAAAATAAAAGTGTTCCTTTTATCTCAACAGATTCTGTTTCTCTGTGTCAGTCGTAGCCATAAATTCGCTTTATCTACTTCACCTTGATTTCAAGTACCTGAAGTAAATTATTATTATTTCCTATTATTAATTCTGGGTCAGTCGTAGCCTTAAATTCACTTTATCTACTTCACCTTGATTTCAAGTACCTGACGTAAATTATTATTATTTCCTATAATAAGGTATTTCGTAGGTTTGAATACTTACTTGGACATGGTTCTGACCGGCACAGTCGGCTTTCCTTCTTATCATTCTCACATGACATCTCCTTCTGGTATTTGGGTGGTGAGCAGTCCCTCTGGCGATGTTGCACGCCGCCTCCGCACGTGAATGAACAATCACTCCATTCAGTCCACGCTCCGCACGTGCAGTTGGCTAAACGAAGAAAACAAACATGTCAGATAGTGGATTTGGAGGCACGTGCAATGACAGCATAATTTCTTCGCAGTATGCTGCAATATAAATTTACGCTTGGTTGTATGCATTCCTGGTGAACTACAGAGTGGAAGCAAATGAAATTCAACGACAGTCCTAACACATTGTTGAGGGTGTGCCTTTGCAATGTTTTTATATGTGAATAGGTATGGATATGTTTTATATATTAGTTTCCATTTAACTCCCTGGCAAAGCCAGCGGGGAACTAATGACATTGAAGTAGGTCAGAAGCATATAGCTGACGGTATCAATGTTCGTATTCATTTCTGATTAGCACAAGACACGCACTGTAGATGTATGCCTGTTCCCAATATCCAACCCCCCTCCATTGTCTTCATGGCTTACACGTCTGTTCGAATTACCGTCACCGAGTGCAGTAAAAAAAATGATTTTTTAAACAAAAAGATCCATTAGAAGCCCCGTCTTTCTGTTTTGAAATGCTTCTCGTTTTTTTCCAGGGTAGTGGGCAGTTTGCAAAAGGGCTGTTATCATCTAAGTCAAGTGAAGATTTTCGGTAAAACAAATGTGTCGAATTGTAGTGTGCTCAAAGAAGCGAGCGACTCAAAGGTGTTCGTTACCTCGGCAGTCCACCAGCTGACAGCTTGTTTTCTCGTGATCCGGTCCCAGCCAAGCGCAGTCTTTTCCGCCCACTGTAGGACGAGGATTGGTACAGAACCTCTTCCTGGTCATGATGCCTTGACCACAAGTCACCGAACACGGCGTCCATAGAGTCCATTCACTGTAATTACCGTTAACTGCAGAAAGAAAGTTTCAAATCCGTTAGCTAAGATCGCTGGATAGTTTTAGAAGTTGTAGAAGCTCTAGCTCTTACCGGGACATGCGTTCAAGTTGCACAGCTCAGTCTCTTTCTCGGGTCCAAGAGGGGTGCAGTCCGAGCCACCAAACTGAGGAGGGGGGTTAGTACATGACCGAGACCTGACCCGACTACCACCCCCACATGTTCGATCGCATTCACTCCACAAGCTCCATGTTCCATACATGCCATTGACTGCAAGAAGACAAAGATGAAAATTTTGAGTTTTAATGAAACAGAAGGTCACCAAAAGACGACGCGAGTTACAATTTAAGGAAAATAAGTATAAGAATTAGACACATACCTGGGCAGGGCTCACTGTGACAGCTGTCACTCTCCATAGCTGGTCCAATCAGAGAGCAGTCTCTCCCTCCGTGCATGGGAGTTGGATTAGTGCAGTTTCTATGCCTGTATTTCACACCGCCACCACAAGACATCGAACACGTGGTCCATGCTGACCAATCGTTATAACTTCCGTCCACTTAAAGAGGAAAAAAAATTAGCAATGGTTCAACTTTATTGAAAACTGATAAATCAAAGCGATTAAGAAAACCGAAGGCATGGCTACTTACGCGGACACGATCTCTCAAAACAGTGGCTGCGTTCTTCGCTAGGCCCCAGTCCTAACTCATAGCAATCTTTGCCGCCATTGGAGGGAACAGGATTGTTGCATGCTCTGATTCTCTTTTTGAACCCACGTCCGCACGTCTTACTGCACACACTCCAACTGGACCAACCACTGTAAGCGCCGTTTACTGAAAGAGTTCGAATTTATCAATGAGCTAATAGAATCATGTAAGTCTCTGTACAGAAGTGAATTCCATAGTCGTCGTAAGCCTAAGCAAGTAGAAAGTTTCTGTGGCTAGAGGTGACATGAGATTTGCTTCTTTTCATGAATGGGATGTGAGTCCACCAAAGGTTACTTTCAAGCAGTCTAGCAAAATTTGCTAGATGTTCATCAGTGCATGTAAGCCCCCTTGATCCTGAGTTAACAGAATGTTGGTGAGTAAAAACATGTGTGGAAGATGTGAAGAGAAATTGTCCTTAAAGGAAATTAGCTGTTTTTAAGACTCTTCGACGCAGTCTTCTTCGCTCCTGTTGATTACTCTCGTCAGACTAGCTTACACTTGCGTTTCGAGTAATATATCGCGTTGCGGGACCAGACTAAACAACGGCTGCGAAGAAAAGTACTCATACAAGGCTCTACTATAAAAGATTATTAGATAGTATTCGTAACAAACTAATGCCGCTATTCAGATAGTGTTCGGTAACAAACCTACGTCGTTATTCAGCAGTCAAGCCAAAATTGTTTATTTACCCAAACAGTCCTGTTGTTTGCAAGGTTGGATCTCAATATTGGGTCCTATATCAGAGCAGTCTCTGCCACCGTGGAGCGGAGACGGGTTGGTACAGGAGCGAGTCCGTGTTGTGGTTCCCTCGCCACAAGTAGCGGAGCAAGCGGTCCAGTTGGACCAATGCGTGTAGTTACCGTCAACTGCGAAGGAAAAAAAAGCCAGTTGGTGTTTTCATTATTTAGCATACTACCATATCCATTGAAAGGTGAAACAAGTATAAACTATTTGAAGCATAAACTATTTGAAATCGCTTGCTATGGAATAAAATAGTTCATTAAACAATAATTACTAACTCAGAAGATAGGACAATATTAGCCAAGAGGTTTTGCAAAACAGGAAGATGAAAAAAGACCTAAGAACGAATGGAGACAAAAACTACGTGGCTAATGCGAGCACTGTTTGGGGAGAATGTCACATAGGAACTTATAGTATGAGCTGGATCTTGGCACGACCCTCTAACAAATTAGTCATAGAGTTTCCATAAACTGAGCGGAGAACAGTCGTTCGCGAGGATTAAAATATTTATGTTTTTCCGCGCTCGTGACAAAACAAACTCAAATTGTTTTTTAAAAAGGGAACGCTATATATAAGATCAGCTCTCAAATAACTTGTAACATTATAGTACCTGGACAGTCCACAAGATAACACTGAGTACTCTGCACAGGTCGACCCAGTCTTGAGCAGTCGAATCCACCACTCGACGGAGGAGGATTGGTGCACATTCGACTACGAACCATGAATCCAGGCCCACAGGAATGTGAACAAGTCGACCAGTCACCCCATTCGGAATAATTGCCATTAACTGACGAGGAAAATATCGACGAAGATTTACAATCACACATCTGAAGGAGCCCCACTTAAGACCAAACCTAATTCCCGTTTGCATTGGACTTCACTGCAATAGAGCGCTTTTCGACTGAGCAAGAAAATATCACGAAGAGCTAATGAGAAGTCAAAGGCAAGTTGCCTAAAGCGCAGGAAAACGCCAGTGCCCAAGTCGCAATTGGTTTTAGTTTTGAGTCTGATGGTTGAGAAAAGTTGCATAATTTTTCTAAATCTATAACGGCCGAAGTAAAGCAACAACAAAGCAATCCACGATTACCTTCAACTCTCAATTGAGAGTTGCGTTATACGCCGAGCGAAAAACAACTCGCGCCTCCTTTTCAACCAATAAAAAATATAATAAATGTCATTGGAGATTTAGTAAATCCCGTTTTCCCGCCCTTAGTGCAGATAATCTGCGCTCTCTCATTGGCTCTTTTTGCAGATGTCTTTCGCAGTGATAAGCAACTAGATTTGTGACCCCAAGTGGAAACTACTCTAACGTTGAAAGAAAGAAATTAAGAAAAACAATACATTTTTATGAATTGTTCAGTTTATACCAACCTCCGCATTGCCGCATGTAGCAATGTTTGGCTTCATTTGGCAGACCCAAGCCCTGCTCTTCACATGACTTCCCGCCAAACTGAGGCATCGGGTTGGTGCATGTTCTGTTACGGGCCTTGACGCCGACACCACATGTAGTAGAACATGACGTCCATTCTGACCAGTCAGTATAGTTACCATTTACTGCAGAGGAAACATAGATTATCAGTCATCATAAACGAACTCGCATTCAGGCGGAATTATTAATTCCTTCAAAATGGAGAGTGACCAAAAAACAACTTTTCCCAACAATTTCAATACATTTTCAACCAGAAGGTTAATGAGAAGAACGAAAACATCAACCAGGGGATGCAGTTTTAAATTATTGAGAGGACTCTGTTACTCATTTACTTCACCATGTTTGTTACGGTACGGAACACTGCGTAGGGCTTGGTGAAAAAGATCGTACAAAGAAAAACAACAAAGAAATCTGGAAAAGGGGTAAATTTCTTGAGAAACTGTGGTGCTGCGTCGGTGGGAGAGTATAACAAGGTAATTTAGTATATATTATCAACTAAGTTGATAACGTAAATTGGCCACCGTTAAGAGTTTCAAGGCTGACGCTTCGAGCGTTTACCCTTCGAACAAAGAAATCTGACGACTATCCTGGCTGTTCACCCGTACTAACTCTGCCGTAGCAGAGCTGTATTTCGGTTAGTGATTAGAAGATAAAAAAAGGTTACCTGGACAGTGTCGACTGTTGCAAAGCCTCGATTGTACTTTTTCTCCCAAACAGAACAGTTCTCCTTTTGGGTGAATACAGACTCGCTTCCTGAACTGGATACCAGACCCACACGTCCGTGTACAGTCGTTCCAGTTGCTCCAGTTGGTCCAATTTCCGCTTGCTAATCATGTGACAGAACGGAAGCATATTAATATATGCGTCAGAAATAGGCTCATTATCATGGAAATAGAGGATGCGTATCGAATAACGTGTCAGAAATAAAATAAAATATTCTACGAGCTAGTTAACAAGGAAATTTACAGGAGTTAAAGGAGAGAACTCGTGACTTTGTCTGAGGAGTTAATCGGTTACTGTTGAATGGTGCTCACCTGGACATTCAGCCAACAAACAAGAGCGCTGTTCAAACGCTGGTCCCAGGTTTGTACAATCCTTTCCGCCCGCGGAAGGGCTGGGATTGGAGCACGTTCTATGTCTAGATGTCACACCAGGACCACAGGTTCGACTGCAAGCGGTCCACTCGGAAAAATCTGAGTAACCTCCATCGACTGCAAGAAGGTAACAAGGTCCAGTTTAATAAATACTAAAAGAAACTTTAAGGTTTGGATGCACCAGGGGACAGGTCGCTGCAAAATCTCTCTGAATCAAATCTCCCCGTCTGTACATGTATGTCTTCTGAAACAAGTCACAGCGATCAATCTCACAAATTCAAACCATTCTGAATTTGGGCGACTTGTTTTCAAGCGACAATATGCTGTCGTAGGGTGGAAGATTATCCATAAAAAACGAAGTAAACTGTCAATGCACACGTCGCAGGGACCAAACACAGCGACTTTTCTTCTGTTAGGTTCCTCAGATTTCAAGCGTTTAGCAGGAAAATCTGGTCGCTGGAATATCTCTTGAACCAGCCTGCTAGCCGACTTTTCTTGTTTTCAAATAAAGAGCCATCCTATCAATTTTTTTAAGTGCAAGCTGATTATATTTGGCAGTTCACACGCGCAGTCAAAGGAGCGTTCGAACAATTTGCAATCTTCCAAAATGTAGCCAGAACTGTTTTTTAATTTTCTGCATTTTTCTCCATCCTCTTCCACCATTGTTCTTTCTTTGGTCATTGACACATCAAGACTATTTTAATTTCAACTTGTCATGTTTACATTTTTTGTGTTATCCCTCAACTTAGCAAGTTTTTGTTTCTATTTTGTTTTGTTTTGGATGGTTTTTTTATTTAGTGGGGGCGTAAAATGATGACGTAACATGGCGCATTAAAGGCAACACGAACTTATCTCAAGCGACCTCAAAGACGAAAACAATTGTTTCAAGATTGAATTTTTAACATCACTTTAAGCAATGAAACCTTTCTCACCTTCACACGGACCATCATTACATGATGACACCTCTCTGTCGCTCCCGAACCACGAGCAGTCGTGTCCACCGTGAGCAGGAGGGGGATTGGTGCAGGATCGTGTCCGGTACCTAGTGCCCTCCCCACAGGTTTTGTCGCACTGTGACCAGCCGGTCCAATCAGTGTAGCCGCCATCATCTGGTTGAAAGATGACACAAATATTCAATCAAGAAACAGTTTTCTCATTGATAAATTGAAAAACGGGTTCATATCTTCTCACTTACGTGGACACGAAATGAGATTGCAGGCTTTAGACTCCATAGCAGGTCCCAAGCCTACTGCAGCGCAATCACGGCCACCGTTGGTTGGGGAGGGACTGTTACAGGTTCTGTATCTCTGCGTCAGGCCTCCACCACATGTGACGTCACAATCGGACCAGTCACTCCATACTGAGTACCCACCATCCTCTGCGAACGAAATAAAATAAATTGAACAGAATTCTAGAAGAAACAAGAACAGTGAACAAGAGAGTTGGAATTCTGTTGTTTGATTTTTTTGTTCGATTATTTGTTTGTTTTTCACTATGAGTTTGTTAATAGACATACCTGGACACAAAAGAGCATTGCATTCTCTCGTTTCCAGCGAGGGACCTAGAGAAGAACAGTCCACGCCACCCTGGGTGTCCTTAGGGAAGGAACATTTTCGTGTTCTCTCCTGTGTACCTCCACCACAAGTGGCCGAGCACGAGGACCAGTGGGACCAATCTGAGTACACTCCTGTAACGGGAGCTATTGAAAAGCAAAAAAAAATAAACTCATTGTTATATGCACCTCTTGCGTTAACGCAACAAGTCATGCTATACGTCACACAACATGTCATGTTATATGCAACAAGTCACGTCACACGTCAAGTTATAACTGTAAAGCACTTTTTTACTTACCTGCAAATGTTGCCGGCATAGGAGTGGTTCCAACTGAAGAGGATTCTTGGAGTTCATCGGAACTAGGAGTCTCTGTGGCTGCACTTGTTCCTTGGGAGTATGCCTGGGTCGCGTGGCTTGTCACATGACCTTCGGTGGCTGAGGTGGCCTTCGAGATAGCATGGGTGCCATTGGTAGCCACAACTCCTCCAGTAGATGTGAATTTAGTTGTCTTCGATGATTCTACCGTTTCTCGACCTTCTCCTGAAAATAAAGTAGCCGTACTTTTAGCCTATGCACAAAAAGTTTAGTATCTATAAAGTGTAATTGTGATTTGAGCAAGATTTCCTTACCAAGACAATGCCCCCACATTCCATCAATGTCGTAGTTAGACGTGGTAGCACACCAAGGCCTCTTGTTTTCATCGTCTGTACAGCCAAAATACTGTGTTCCATGATAAACGAAAGGGAAAACACAGCAGGCGCCTTTACTTGTTCCACCTTCAGTCTCCACACAACGTGCGTTCAGACCTGTGGATATAGAGCCGAGTCCTTATTGAGAAAAATAGGCGACTACCTCATGAAATTTCTGATTAACCTTATTATTAAGAAAAGCTAAGGATTTTATAATTATTCTCCAAACTGCGAAATTCATCACTTATATAATTTTATAACGTTACTCCCCTGCCGTGCATGCACATTACCCATCAATACTACTTTGGATTTCAAAGCCAGGGTCTTCTCTCCAATTGGAGCAATTGATTGTCAAAAATATTCCGAAATTACGTGAGTTTTGCTCTTCTCCGCACTGTTCCAGAAAACTTGTTCCACCTTCTCAACCAATCACATGCAGAACTTAAAAACCAAGCGCGACTTGGTAACCCGCGTTTCTTTCCCGCGCTTTTTTCCCGCGCTTTGAAGAATTTTTCCATCTTTTTTTTCTAATCAGCTTTCTGATTGGCTAGTATTTTTCTTTTCCAATTTATCTGACTGGCCACTGTGATGACCTTAGTTTTGGGTTTACGAGACTCGATTGGAAAGTGCTCCCGTATGATTTTCATACTTACGTATGAAAATCAAAGAGGTTGTTGGATATCGTACCTTCCTCTACAGGACACTCAGGACAACATTTCCATCGTTTCTTAACCGGATTACGGCAGTTCAATTCAGGACACTCTATCAATGTACAGCGGATTTTACCATCGTCGCATTTGCATTCGGGCGTGCAAGGGCCTGGTGACCAGCGTTCGCCATGCTCGTGTTGTATGCCGTCATAATAACAATCTGAAAGGAGAGAATAAAAAACCACACAATTAACACATAGATTGAACTTTATTTGCTAAAAAAACACACACATTAAGGTAGCACAGGATATTGTGTTCCTTGGCACTGTATTCAAATTCAGCCTCAAAATGTTATTTAGTTATGTACCATTACTCATTTTTAATTTTTTGACATAATATTATGCACTTTTAAATCTATTATTTGATTTGGCAAAATATTTTTTGAGCATCAAAATGATTTGGAAGATCTTAATCCAAATATAAATTTGCTTAACCATTAATTTATTTTCCAATTTGTAGGATTCTCATGAAAATATTGTTGAACATTTAAAGTCTTAAACCGTACACTTGGATTCCAATTTGTTACTTACTTGCTTTATGCAGTGGCCCAAATTGCTGTGTTACGTTAACTGACAAGCAAATAAACAAAAATCAGCATCCACAAATAAGAGATCAAATGTAAAAAAAGACAAATAAACAGAGCAATAACAAAGGCCACTACTCACCAGGGGTGGGTGAGGCAGTGGGTGCAGCTAAACCAACTGGAGCAGGGGTTGGAACTGCAAACAGATCATAAGTAAGAAGTTTATCAAGCTTGAAAATATGATTTATCTGCAACACCTTACCTAACCTCTTTTACAGTTTTAATGTTAGTTTAATGGTTAAGATTTTTGTATCAGAGTACAGTTGAACCCCCATGATAAACTTAACTCTTGGCAATACTGTATGTTGACTTTCCACAAGTACAGTGAACATTAATACAAGTGTTATCATAGGTAGTCACAAAATAGAGTGCAGCAGGTACATTTTGCAAACTGGAACAACTTCATATATCATACTCAGTGCACTTAATCTTCAGGGTCAGGCAAAATTTGACTGGTTAGGGTGTCCCCTGAATGGAGGTAAAACTGTGCTTCAGGACCTAAGAAAAGTGTATCTCTCTCCTAAACATAAGTATCCCTTCAAAAGAAGTGAGGCAAACGAAGATTATGTAACTGGAACAAAAATTTGTTTCCCTTGAGTGGAGGAGTTCCTTGAATAGGAATGGAAAAGTTCCACTGTACAACAATAAGCCAGGTCTGGAGAGTCAGGCATTTCCTCACTCTACTCCCCTAGGGGGGGCTTTCCTTAATAGATTGGGACAGGATAAGGAAAAACTCAATCATTGACACTTTACTTGGTTACAGTTACAGTTACAGTAAGTACCTTTACAGAGCCCACACTTTCTCTTGCAGTTCTTAACCAGCCAATCATTATCGCATTCATGCATCGGGTAATCACTACAATCTTCATGATCTTTTGACACACAAGCACCTGTTGAAAGAGGTCTCCTGTTTAAGCTAACTTGAAATTACCCAAGTAATACTTGATTTCATTTAAGCATGAGTTATTACATATTAACAGAAAAAAAAATTGTATAAATTGGAGATTAGTATGGTTAAAAAGTATTAGTAACATTCAGGATGGCTTTTACATGCAAAATAATTTAAAGTATGTTGTGTTACAAAAGTGACTTTTTTAATACTGAATTTCACTTATATGTGCAAGTTACTTTCATTTAGATTAATTTTATCCTTTTTGTTTTTTAAAACTTAAGAGTTTATTTTAACATTCTAAATAATTAAATATTTTATATTTAATTATTCATATTAATTTAGCCTTTATTTTCCATAGTTTATGTGTAAAATGGTGAGTTTAGATTTTAGTGGTAATTTGATTGATCACCAGCTTGAGAATTCTCACCTTCTGATTCACCTTTTCCTGTGGGTTCTAACCCTAAAAATTGAAACATTCATTTGAAAAGGCAATCCTCTTTTGCAACCAGTTATAAAATGCCTCTTAGAATTCCACAGTTTGCAGTTGTAAAGTAAAATCCTGAAACCATTTGCCTTAAGGCCCTTTTTTTTTAGGGTATGTCAACTCTTTAGCTAAAACTCATAACAATTCCTGTGGTAATCTTAGAGTTGCGGTAAGGCTATCAGAAAAAGCTCTGTTCTTGACTCTGTAACCTTATATGGTTAATCTTGTTACAGAAAATGTTGTTGTTCATTGTGATTTTGTAGATAAATGAATGTTTAATTACTTTTCCTACCATCTAGAGTCAAGCTATCAATTGTATTAATCATGATGTTTCAACTGTTATACTGTTTGGAGCAATGTGGTCAAAGGCATTGGTGTTGCTATTTATAACACCTTGGTTTGTTATTATTGATGTGTTTTGGCACACTGTCATTAAGGAATTTTGATCTTTGTTATTGTTTCAACCACTATTTTGTATAGTATAGTCTTAAATACTGTTCAGTGTTAGGTTTGTTGGAGGTAAAGCCATCCGTTCAATTTTTTTCAGAAAAGTCAGTTTATTATTGAAAAAGTTTGTATTAGTCAAGACAAGACTTTATATTAACCATTTTAGAACCATACTAGTTTCATTAAAAGCAAATTTACAAACAGCGTTAATAAATTAGCAGATAGAGCCAGCGTTAATATTGACTGCAACAGTTCAAGAACACTCATAAATATCACAGCAAAGTTTGTTTACTAATGTCAAGATAATAGAAACAACCAGATGTTGAAGAATAAAAATTGTATGGCCAACAGGATCTGGCCAATTTTAATAATATATCCACCTTATCCACCAAACAGACAGCATTATAAAAATGTTAGGAAGGAATTATCCAAATAATGAAGAGTAACTTGTCTGGCACATAGTGTCATTTACCCTCAAATATGGTCAAGACTGTGAGCTTTAGAATGTATGGGTAGTCTTGAATTTTTCCCTTCTTTTTTCTTTCTTTTTACTTTTCTTCCCAAAAACCTCCCGCAAAACAAGGTAAAGATTCCAATTTTCTGTTCATCATCAATTCGGAGACTGAATTCCTCTAATTTCAAGTTTTTTTCCCAAAATATAATTCTCCAATAACCTTGATGACTACAGCATTTAGGAAAAACAAAACCCCACATGTTTTTTGTTTTTGCTTTCGTTTGTTTGTTTGTTTGTTTGTTTTGTTTTGCCTTGTTTGCTTTTTGTTTGTTTGTTTGTTTTTATTTTTTTTTGGGGGGGGGGGGTATTATACTTTGCAGAGATCATCTCCGTTACATAAAATTAATTCATGCCAGTGTATCTCCATGAAATTAGATGTATTTAGAAAAGTTACACTTAGAACTGTCGTCCTATATTGCTAACTGCGTGACAACCTTGCGATCTGGCATCTGTAAATCACTTTAAAGCTCTAAAGCCAGGATCTTCGCTTTTCAAGGTCCCTGTACACATTGCTGTTTCACGCGCGAATACCTGTTACATTTTCTTTCCACTCCGACTCACGATCGAAGTCGCTGTCTAAAATTTAAAGCTTTCTAAATAAGACTTCAGTCTCATCAAATCCACCTACCTTCACAAAAACCGCACTTTTTCTTGCAATTCTTTCTCATCCATTCGTTTTCACAGCTTTCTATCGAAAAGCGACTGCATTCCTTATTATCCTTGCAAACAGCTGAAATTAATCATATGCCAAATAGCTTCATTTTATCGTATAGATGACTGCTATCCTTTTAATTCGTCGGTCAATCCATTATTTTCCAGGTTACTTTAAACTCCATGTCGGGGCAAATTTTCTGCGTCTGCCGCTACTTCGCCGAGGCTAAAATTTACGCGCCTTGTCCGCCATATTTGTTGTTAAACCCCAGTCCCCGCTCAAACAGATTCATAAATGTAGGCCTGCAAAGCATATACAAATTGTGGCCGAAGAAACCTCTAATTGTGTACTTACGTCGACAAAACTGGCATTTTCTTGGACAATTAAGTTGAACCCATTCGTCATTACACTGGTTCATGGAGTATCGCGAACATTCACTCTTGTCATTACACCAGGGTGCTGGAAATAACAAATAACGCGTCAGCTATACCTAATATTCTTCATTCGCCTCCTTTAACCGATAAGGCCCCTGATGATCGAAGGGTGGATAACGCTATCCAGTGGATAAATCTCTATCTGGCGGATCGCACAGTAAGTTTTGTTGACACTTACTGGCTGGCTAGTAATATATCTTTTTAAAACCTTCATTCCCACTTTAAACAACTGGAGCCATGGGCCATATTGTTTAAATGAAGACCCCTACGATTGAAAGAGCTTGCTTCGAAAAACAGAAAAATTTGATGAAATCACACGAGATTAAACAGCTTTAATACCAATCAGATAGCTGCAGAAGAGTCAATGTATGCGTATTTCTATTTAATCGTTAAGAAAAGGCCTTAGTTACCTTCTGGTATTTGAAGAATAGTTGTCCCATGACTCACTGTTACATTGATGTGATTTTTCGCCGGACCTTTTACTTTAATCTTAGCTTTGTGTTCGTCTTCAGCTTTAATGTTTGCAGGAAGCTTGACAACAATGGTTTCCACCATGGGTACTTTGTTTGACACCTGGTCCTCCAACGCCGGTTTCCCATTTTCACCTTTAATGTTTACTAAAACAGGCTTTCGTGATGTCTCCAATGATTTTGTGACCTCAGAGGGTACTGTGACAGACAGCTCCGTGTACGGTTTCTCTGTTGCGTTATTTGTTGTGTTATTTGTCGTCACTGCTTGTTGAGGTGTCGTAAATGTTGAAGTTGTTTCTGTGATACACGAAACAGTAGTTATATCTTTCAGGAAATCCAAGAAGGTTATTGATAGACACAAGATATAATCAAATTGAACAAAGTGGCTTTTATCTGGCATGCATACTAATGACAAGCGTGTCCCCTGCTTCTAGAGTGGCGTTTCTTTCCAGCTATGCTTTAAATCGCGTTTCTGACAGCAATGTATGTTACTATGGGCAACGCGCGCCAGGGATGACTTTGTGCGAGTTTAATTTGAGTGTGTGATGAGAAAACATTGAGGATTTATGGTCGTTCACCGACAACAAAGTTCAGTTTTATTTTCTCTTTCATGGATATGACTTTACCAAGTACAAAGATTCAAAAATTTATGCAGTGCTCACCATTGCCGCATATTTTGCATTTCTTGGGGCAGTTAACTTTCAACCACGCCTCGTTACAGCTGGCCTCTGTATATTTACCACACACAGGGTCGTCATTACACCAAGTTTCTATGGGAACAAGTGATACATACGTTAACAGAACCTCAGAAAAATGTTTGATTATTTTTGGACCTGTTATCACTGAAGAGTATTTTGCCCCCTACTCTAAGGCAAGAGAATACCAGTTGACATTCTCTTGTCTAAAGTTAACATCACTGGATTAAAGTGGGCATTATCTACGATGACAACTTAAAGTTCTCAAATCATCAATAGTGCATAAATTTTCGTAAGTTTCTAAAAACTGGCGATGATTTCCAAGGAAGAGAAATGAAGTGGTAGTTGCACCGATTTTCACGACAACCTCACTTAAAAGGAAGATACTGTGGTCACAGAGCAATTTTTCAATCGACTGTCGCAAATAATCTGGAATTGAGTTGGTTTTGCTTCACTTCGCGTTGTAATCGGTCTAGAAAACTCGCGCCATCTTTTTAACCAGTCAGATGCAAAACTAAAACCAATCACGACTTGGTCGCCCGCGTTTCTCGTGCTTTGGTTAGCTTGGTTGATTTGCTTTGAGTTCTCATTGGTTCTGAAAGGAATTTTTCTTTGATTGATTTTTACGATTACTTTGATCGCTTTTGGTTTTACGACACTTGATCGAAAAATGCTCTTTTTCTCACTAGGTACTCTATTTACTCACCGTAAACGTTTGGCTCAGCTGTAGCATTCTGCTCTACGACGGCTGCAGAAAAATAAGTGCAAATTGTAATTTGAGATTGGACCAAATTGCTGTTAAGCAATAAAAATTACCACTACGGAAAAAGTTTGTATGTTGACAATGCGCTATCCATCATAAATATTATCGGCAAACATATAGTTTTTAAACAAACACGCAACCTAAAGTTATGCAATGACCGATGAAGAGATTGCATAGACTCCTTATCATGTTTGATTTAAGTGAGATGTATGATTTATTGCACCAAAGAGGTGGCCGCATTAAAGTCGAAATGAAAGTCAAAATATTCTGCGAACTCTCAACACCGATGATGACCACTTAAGCTCGATATACGAATCTGCAAATCATATCCGTACTCGTAAATTCTTAGAGTCATGTCTCATAAGAAACTTGTTGAAACTGATTTTCTTGTTACGAGGGAAGACAAATGAGTCCCAGACCCTAAAAATTAACTGCAGGATATTCATTTCACAACAGAGCAAATTTCTCAGGCTAAAAATTTACCCGACCCTCTTCTAATGGCTCCTTTACGTAATGAATCACAAGGCATTTTCTCTTGAATTAAAACATGAATTAAATTGACAAAAAAGCTACATGAGGCGATGGCAATGAAAAAATTATTCTGGAGTCAGAGTTAATTCATAAATGGCCTTATGGTCACATGATATAGCTAGATTTCTTCTTTAAATGGCAAAAACCCAAACAAAAAGTTTTAATACCCTCTTAGGGCAAATAATTGGTGTAGATGTTACATTTACGACAATTAGCTGCACTGGAGAGCTTCTGTAGCTGCAATTTAACTTAGGTCGGAGTAAACAATTGTATTAGGACAATACGGTAGGTTTGTCTCGGTGAAAATGTTCGAAACTCTCAGAAATTTCCACAGTTTCCACGCACCGTCATCAAGTAACGAGCACCCGAATGAAAATCGTAAAATCGGTTAATTTTATAAACGTCTTTCTGAAAACAGTGCAAAATTATCTTAAGACGGCCTCAATCACTACAATGAATAGATTTTGCAACCTAAATCTGACCGATCAAGGTCAGAGCTTATTTTTGACTTTCATCCATCACCAGATAAAAACTTACTCTGTGCAAACACCGCTAGCAATGATGCAATAATCACTTGAAGAAATAAATTGAATTTCATGTTTTCCGCCGCTCGGGTGTCGTTGTTACCATTTTAGTTCTCACATGGCAAACAGAAAAAGCCTCCACGAGCTTTGCATTCATTAACATTAATGTTCGGATCGGCCGGTTTGTCTATCATCGCATCAACGGCCACCCGCAAATCCTCGCAAAACACTACGAGTCTAACAAGGAACTCTCTATATGAGACAATTGCATGGTCACAGGAATCGCCAGAGTTTACATAGTGTTTACAACTAAGCGCAGTTCAAATATACAACAAATCAAATCTGGGCGCGCTTAAAAATTTATGCTGGGCGGGGAAAATCTGTCTGTTTAGAAAATTTTGTTTGCCTTGATGAAATTATTCGGAGAAATTTCCAAGGAGTTAGGGCGAAAATTTTGACAGTTTTATCACTTGCCGGTCACAACACCTATTGAAATGAGTCACGGTCTTTTTTGAGTATCAGACTGCTTTATGTAGGAGGAATGCTGATGATTTAGTTCCAAAAGATTTATGCTATTTTTTAAGGGAACAATTCCTCTTAAACTTCAAAGTTAGACGTTCATGATAAAAATAAATTTTGTGTTCATCAACTTTTATCAGTAACTATATTTGTCAAAAAAATTTAAGGACCTTTTTCTGACGTGCAAAGTAGATGGCTATTTAACCGGATTTTCTGTTTCTATTCTATTAAAATTGCTACTTACGAAGCTGTTGCATGGTCACAGGGACACCAGTACCCGTGTTGTGTCTAAAATCCACGGTGATATTCTGATTTGGAGTCAGCGGAGTTGCTGTGGCTGTCGCGTTGCTGATAATCTTATCCACAATTCCTCCCGCAAAAGGATTCACTACATCAGGACCGCTGGGCATGGGAGGAGCCTGCGTTGGGAGTGATTGCGCAGTACTCGGCTGCGTTAACGTCAAGTTTTGCACAGTCACGTGACTTGGAGTTTCATGCATTACAGGGACCTCAATGGGAACCGCTGGTTCTTTATCGGTTTCAAACGAAATTTTAATGTTTTGGTTTTGCTTCTCGGCTGGAGTTGCTTCCAAGCTTATCCCATTTCCTTCAGCTGTTACAGGAGATGTTTCGTTTCCAAGAAATGAAATTTTAATATTTTCCATATTACCCTCTGGTACTGGTTGTAAGGAGACCTCGTTTACACCTTGCAAAGGCTGGTTTTTCTCGATAAAAGAAATTCGTATTTTTTCTACACCGTTGCTTTCAACTGGTTGTACCGCTGAAGGAATGTCCACAACCCAGTCGGGATTCTTTTTAATTTCTAAAACTTCCATTTCTTCCACTGGCACAAGTTCACTTCCGTTCATAACGAGAAGAGGCTCTGAGGTTGGTTCCATCGTTCCCACGTGAGCTGAAAGCGCTTCTTGTGGGGTCGACGAATCGTAGACACCTATTTCTGAACCCGATGTCGCACCAGCCTGTACCACCGGAAGTATGTTCTCAGACGCTACTGTCTTGTTATATACATTATATAAGGGAGAGCCATTGGTCGGTACACTGACTTCCGGGTAAATTGTCTCATTAGCTATCTCGTTCGTAGCTACGATTGGTGCAGTACCTTCGTATTTTACCTTAGGGTAGGTATAATTATTACGGCCCAGAACCACCTTGGAAGTGTCCGGAACTGTAGTCGGAGCGTTCTCCCATCCCTTAAGTGGATTTACTGTCGGCTGCGCTGTTGCTCCCAAATAATTTGCAACTTTCTCTGTTTCTGGAGTTGCTTCTTCTGCAAGAAAAAAGGATGGTAAACTTCTGTCATAAGAGAAAGTGTTAGGTGAGAGTAGGACATATTTTTTTAGTACTATTCTGAAGCATTATTTACTTTCCACGACGTTTTGAAACTGTAAGAAGCATACAACTGTGCACAACACTCCCAGTTTTCACCATTACCCATGTACGGTGTATACACCAAACGATACGTGCTACCCAGATAGTCAAACTCTGCACTCACCTGTTCCGCAGTGTCCACACAGTTTTGGACAGTTAAGGTTGATCCAGTCATACGAGTCACAGTGAGTCTTTGAGTACATTGCGCATGCGTTTTGGTCAACGCACCACGAATCTAAAAAGAGCAGATCATTTATTCACAAGTTCCATTAGACGGTAGAGGTAAAATTGGAACATGGGCCAGATGGCTCATCTTACTGGAGCTAGTTTTTAGAGCATTTGATGATTGAAACTGCTGCTTCTCCTCCTAAGCTTAGTGAGTGCTAGTCCATCGAAGGTTGCCCTTCCCTTACCCGCCACCCAAACTGTACAGATTTCTCGAATTGGTTCTTTCAGTTTTAACTCGTGGATATGCAAAGCGTTAGAACAAGTTATGTGGAGATTTGATATGCCAACCTCTTGAGGGGGTGGGAAAGGCAGGCATCTTATTGAAGATGGCAGACTGATTGTTAAATATGGCGGATAAATTGGGGCAGATTTGCGCGGGGATAACGGGTCAATTCTGTGTCTTGAAATGCCAGTATCATTGGCCGTAAGTGCTACACCACTGGATATTCTAATACGTCTGCAGAGTATATCCACGAATTTACCATAGTGTCACTTTGATTTAAAGACACCGATGTCAGATAACTACTTTAAAAACTGTGCGTACCGCCATCTTGGATCATAAGCAACTTTATGCTTCCCACTGTAATCTGTATGATCCCCTCCATACTTATATGAACATAAGAGCCTTTGATCGATGATAACTTTAGCAACCCTATTACGTCAAAGCATCTAAAATGGCTCTTACAGGGAAGTTCAATTATTGATGTTGCATGTAATTGTTCTTAGGTTTACACAGTTTGGTCCCTGTTTCCCATCTGCCCCACAAATCTACTTCTTTATGAAATTTTCATAATTTTAACGGTAACTTGCTCCATCAATGGCGTCTTTCTCAAGTAAGTGTATTACAGAACAAAACAGCCTAACAACTACAGCTCGGACAAAAGGTCTTAAAGCAAAAAGTTTTGATCCAAAGGCAAAGGCTATAGTTCCGACTTTCACTGTTAGCGTGACTCACTAAAAAGCGTTCTTTTCTATTCAAATTAGCTCGATGACAATGATCGTGGAGGTTTCATGCGGACTTGGGATCTTTGCATCTTTTAGATCAAGTTTAAACTCTGATACTTTCTTTAGTTTCTCTCCACATAAACATCGCGTCCAGACAGAGGAAGAGGAAGCTTCTTTCCCTTGTTTATGTGTTTGCTTAGAATTACAATTGTAAACAAGATTACTTGTTTTTGTTTTCTTTAGAGATGTGATGCTTTTCATTGACAAAATTCGAACGGTAAGCTTCGCTAGCTCTCTCTTTTATTGGTTAGGAACATGAGCAACGAACGGAAAACTGGAGAGGTTAACGCCAAAACCAAAGAAAAGAAAAATGCTAATGCAGTTTATTGATGTGTCTGGTATCTCTTTCATGATAGTTCAGAAATCCTACAAAACGACCGAGAAAACTTGCCTAGCTTTACGAAAAATTTTTCTTGTTTTGTAACATGGAATAACACTTGAAATAGCGCATACACAGGTGCAATTCAAACTTATCGAAGTACATTTTCATGATAATATAAATGGTCTGCTAATCGACCAAAAATTGTATCAGTTTTTCATTCAGTTGAAAGAATGATTGACATACGGCCATTTAGGAGTTATTGACCTGACTTACACCGTTCAGAAATTGGTCGATAGCTGACGGCTTACTTTTTAGATCGTTTGCGACGGTCTCGAAACATATATCTCACATAAACATCTACAACTAATTTATATTCATTCCACAAAGTTGATCTTTGGCTTGAAAGCAGCTTGTCTTCAGCAGGTAGTCTGTTAATTGTTGTTACGCTTAGCTGGCATAGCAACGAAAGCGTTCAAGCATATCTTACGAAACCATTTAAATGAAGTGTGGCGTATGCATTATTGACAGATTTGAGCGGAAAACCACTGAATGTCTTTCCAGTAAATGAGCCTTACGATTGCAAAGGTGAATTCAAACTGAAAAAAAGATTTCGCACAGCAAATATGTTGCGAGATGAAATCGTTTATCCAGGTGGCAACATTTATTATGGTGTTACACCAGTTCTTTTTTGTCTTTCGCAAGTATCTATTCATCAAATATTTACATTTAGGCGGCAAAGAGAAAAATGTCAAAAATTTTTGAACCACTTCGAGAAGAGAATTGCTAAATTCATGAAGAACTTCTATATAAAAATTGAAAAGATTAATTTTAAATTCCTTTTTGCGAGTCAATCAGTTTTAATAAAGCTTTCCGTCATTTTTTGAAAGAAAAATTTTTAATAACCGATATAGTTGATAACCGACATTATGAAGTGAGATAAATCAGATAACGTCTTCCTAAGCTTAATCCTCTCGTTCTGTTCTTTCCCTTATTCAAGTTCAGTAATCTCAAAACAGACAACGTTCTTGAAGTCACTTATCTTACTCAACGAAAAAGGTTTGACAGCGAGACAGTTTTAAAATCGATAAATTCGCGGGTATATCTATTAGGGTATGTTGATGAAACCAAATCTTCGTTTTGTAAGTAAAGTGTATTTCGTATAAAGAAAGTCCTAAAAAACACTTACCTTCTGTGGCTGTGATGACTTGGACAAGATACACAAAAATACAAAAGTGTATCCGTCTGAAAATTGCCATTGCTAGTTGCTTTTTTCCTCGGCTTGTGAGTTGCCCCTTTTCCTTCTCAATCGAGAGGAGGCTATATCCTCCCAATTTCTAACCTTTTTCTGCAGACAATAAAACTATTTCTTACCAAATGAATTTAAAATAAATTTTTTCCTACATAATAATATTGAGAAGAGATATGATGGAAAGAACATTTGATAAAACTTGTTATAGTAGTGTTGGTTGAACCACCTAACGACCCGTTTTCTTGAATGGTGCTATATTGATTTTTCTATATGTTGGGTAACCTGTCGCATCACAAGAGAGTTTACGTCCAAAGATTAAAAAAGTATCAGGTCCGACTTGAAATTACTAACAAATTAAACTTGACATTTCGAAAATATAATCGTAGAGAACAATTTTTTTTTTTCATTTGCTGCCTTGAATAGTCAAAATCTACTAAGTTCTACTCTTTCAAACCAATTTCAAAATCGTGAAATATTCGATCTAAGGAGTAAAAGGTTTTATTCTTGTGTTGACAGTCTTTTTGAAGGTCTAAGATAAAGTATCTATTTTCAAAAAAACCAGAAGACTTCAATTTCATTTTCGTTGCCAGAATGAAGCTAGGTTTTTCCTTGGAAATAAAGATCAGTCGACCGAAACTAAGTCGGGAATTTTTCCGGACAGACTAAATTGCTTTCTTATGAAAATGAGAAACTAACATTTTTTTAAATTGCTATCTCTTACCTTTGAAAACAGCAAAGTAAAAAATATTCCTGTTTGTTCTCGTTACGTTATCAGCAAGTGGAATTTTAGCCCCATCTCGTTGTGTCCAGTGTCGACATTTCTACTCTGAAAATACGAGCCCAGCAAATAATTAATTCTTTTGTTAATAAAAATGCGAACCGCGACTGGCGCATGCGTAGTCGGAGGGCCACGTATGTAATCAAATAAGGAAGTGACTGCTTGCGCATGCACCTTGATCTCCATCAGCGACTTAACCGGTGGACCAATTAGAAAATTTGTTATCGTTACTGGTAGTGTCACGACGCTCGCAGAAACAGGAAGTCAGAATTTGACAGGTTCATATAAGACACCTAAGGAAGGGCTTCTTTCAGAACTAGACATGTAACAGTTTATGCAAGAAGACATTGTTAAACGCAGTTCAGATCTATTTCACACTTTCCCAAATCGTACAAGTAAAAATTTGAAGAGTACCTCTCCTTGAGACAGCGCGATAAAATGACTGCGTCTCTCCATTAGAGAAGTAAAAGGTGTTTGGTGAAAGTGCAAATATTCTTTTTTATCAATAAGTGTGATGGATTCGAGAATTTATATCCTGTGAAAGCTCGATACTTAAGCTGTCAAACGATAAAATATCTAGAGTTGTTCATTCCACTGGTCGTTTAGCTTGCAGTGAAACTAATCATCCATAAAAAAACACCGAATATATTGACCGAATATGGCTTATTTTACAGCAATGTAACCGTCGAATCAGACAAAGTATTTAACGGATGGCAAGATTTTCGGAGATGATTAACTTTTATTTTTTCACCTTGTTTACTCGGGTTAGCTCATTAAAAACCAAGCAAAGTGACTGGTAAAGATCAAAGATCGAGGTGATGACTGGGAATGTATTTTTATTGCTTTTTTCACCTAACAGGTAACGCATTCATTTGATGAAGAAACTCCACAATTGACTTCCATCAGTACAGTTCTCAGGTTTGAAAGATCAATTGTTTCTGATTATAACTCTCGGTAAGCTTGTAAAAGCTTCATGTTCTGTTTCTGATTATATTGTTTGTTTATGCAGACAATCATACTACATGATCGACAGGTTCATTAAAACCATTCAATATACGTATGACGACCATATTATTCAGACTACTGATACAATGAGAGTTACGAAGTCTGCTTGCTCATATGACTCACTTGTTTCTTTACGGCATGCATTGAATACTTCGGGGAAACTTTACAGAATGGAGATTAGATAATTCAGTCACTAGAGAGACTGATTTTCATCAAAACGTTTCTATTTTTTTGTCTTATGACGCGTATTTACAGCAGACTTACGGTCATTTCCAAGTTGAGTGCGGTTCCTGACCGGTTAACCTTGGAAATGATCGAGAGGGACTAGATTGGTCTTAGACATAAATGAGTTTAGATACCTGTTCTCCTAACCTGTCAACGCATGTCAACTGTCAACTGAGTGGCTACAAGTAGATTTGGGACACTGTTAGCAACTGAGTCAGTTAAATTAACGTTTATTAACAAACAAAACTTTCATGGCCTTGACTCGTAATTTTCAATATTGTATCCGGAGATAATTGAGCGAGAAATCTCTTTGGAAGCTAAGCATTCTGTTTTGTTTTTCGCAGAGATTACTCGAGTCAAAACAAGAAGTGAGCGTCGTTCTCGACCTCCAAGGTTTTACAAGAAAGAACTTATAGAACTTAAAATTCAGAAACAAAGACATCTTTGGTGGAGCTCTGTTCTATGAATAGACAACATCAGCAAAACTCAGTTATAAAACTTGATGTAACATCAAAGATTCAAGTCAGATTTCCGGAAAGTGATTGAAACTACAGGGTTCGTCATGTTTTATCCCGTGTAGTATGATCCTGGGTCCGCACCATACTGCTGTTGGTATTGTTGTTCGTTTGAATAATAATTGGCTTGTCCCGCGGTATCTTGAGCCTGTGATCTGTCGTATTGCTGGTAAGCGGTGTTGTCATAGCTATTGTAAGACTGTGCGTTATAGGACGGATAATTGTTTTCAGGACTGCTCTGCTGGGAGCTGTAAGACATGTAATCTGCTTGAGGACTGCTCTGTGTGTTATAAGATGAGTAATCTGGTTGGGAATTGCTTGGTTGATCATTGTAGGGAGCCTGGTTCTGGTAATAACGCTGAGACGAGGCTGCTTGATAACCGTATGATGCCTGATTACTTTGTCCAACTTGATTCATTACTTCTGCGATGAAAAAATACATACACTCTTCAATTAAAAATAAATATCACTTGATCAGAAACCACCTAACTAAGAAGATAAGAAAATTATTGCTATCGTTAAAAAAATTTCGTTCAATTTACTGCTAGAGTAACGAACAATGGTCTTACCAAAAGATCCTGTCTTTTCCTCTAAGAGATGTTTGACAGCACAAGTCGCATGCATTACGTAACCTTTTTTTTTTTTTTTTTTTAAGTCCGTCCAATTCCGAATTGATTTATTCTCACGGAATATCTTTTAGAACTTGTAAAGGTGGGCTGAACTCGTCCTAATCCTTTCAGTCCCAAGATCTCATTAGTAATTCTCCTTATATTAATGTCTGTAATTCAATTCTTATGGTGTGAATTTTGAGAATTTGTCATTGGATCAACTACTATAATCCCCTACTTGTTATTTACCTTTATCTTTATTCTCATCACATATCTGCCTAATAATGCATTAACATTGTAACGAGAAATTCTGTTTTTTTTTACTCATGAGAGTTACAGGGTCAAAGGGCGAACTCGTCGTGTTTGGAACGAATGGTACGGGAAAACTTGCAACAAGGCGAACCCTCTATTGACCTTCCAAATTGCATCTATGTTTGCAATCCCTTCACACTAACTCAATCTCCGGATTCCTTCATACGCAATTCAGCTACAAACACAGAAAAAATTAAATGCAGATACCAGAAGCCCATTACTTAATGGGCTTCTGCAGATACTTAAAAGTCTCGTAGGAACATTTTTGGTGCCAATCTCGAACTTACCGTTGGTCCTGTTGAGAGTTTCGTTAGGTTTGCCAAACCAAGACTCAGTCGTTGTGATGTTATGGTTTGGGTTATATTCTGTTGTCGTCAACTGATGCACAGCTTGACCAGCTTGGCCGGGAGCATTTCCTGGAGCCTGGGTCTCTCCAGGAGTAAGTGTTGTCTGCGATATCGGGAAAGGAGAGCCGGGAGTTACACCCTCCACAGGTGGCTGGCCTGGTACCGGAGCAGGAGCAGGAGCAGGCTGTAAAGCTGGTTGTTGACCGGGCTGTGGAGTGGGCTGTTCGGGAAGTGGTAGTGCTGGTTGTTGAGAGGGCTGAGGTGATGGCTGTTGAGTTACCTGTGGTTGCGGTTGCTGAGTTACCTGTGGTGTTGGACCTGGCAGCGGGAGTGTGGCCGCCCCGGCCGCTGCACCTCCCATTCCAATGGATGGCGTCGGTATAGCTCCTGGCTGCCCTATAACTGCGGTCTAAACACATTTTAAACATGTCTTTCATTTGATCCTTAAGTTATTGCTACAAAAAAAATTCACTTTGAGTTCAAATCTTTTCATCTCAATGTATCGAAGGCCGAAGACAAACGGCAGTTCTTCTGTTCCAGTATCGCCATATGCATGAACATTACGTTTTAGTTTTTTCCTCCCTTTTTCCCTTCCCTTTTCTCCCTTTCCTTCTCTTCATACTCGAAAAAACGCATCGATGATCATGTCTGTTTGTTACTGCAATTGGTTTGATGAAAGATGGAAATGCGCTGAATTATACTCTCAATGTCGTATATATTTACCTGGCCTGCCTGTGTCACTGACTGTGAAGCTGCTGGTTGAACACTGCTGGCCATAACAGCAACTGACTGATTGCTGGCTGGTTGAACTGCACTACTAGTATTTATCTGTGATACCACAGGGCTTCCAACACTCGGTGAGGGAGATGGCATGGCTGTTGCATTTGCAGTCGCAATAGCTATCGTACCCGTGGCTTGTGGCTGAATCGACTTCGTGGGTAACGGCTGAACAGTTTTATTAGCGGCAGAAGGAGATGCATTTACTGATGTAGCCGGCATTATCGCGGTTTTTGAAGGTTGTACACTAGCTGGAGTGACTGTTGCAGCTGCACCTGAGGGTGTGGTCACACTGGACTCCGGGATTGCAGGACTAGCATTTGACCCGCTTGCACTCTCGTTCGAGACACTGTTAGCCACGTTGTTTGCTATGCTAGATATAAGATCATCTGTGCTTTTGTATTGTTGTTGAGCCTCTCCTCTGTGATCTTTGAATCGTAATGTCTTAGGTGTATCACCGTCATCTGAATGAAGTGAGACGAGAGATTGATGATAGAAGTGTCCCGTGGAAAGATTTCAAATTCGTCTTAAAAACACCGTAAAAGTGAAGCTGTGACCAAATATTCTCTAAATAAAGTAGTAAAGAGCTTAAATGGCTGAAAAATAAGTTATAGACGCCATTTTCTCTGATATCAGGAGAATTAAAAGCAAAGAAATTTTAAGAAATCATGACTCTCATGATATTGTTTTAGGCTTCTCTCTTACAGAACGAAAGATGAAAGAGAGGCCCGTTCCTATCACATGCGCTATTGAACCCTATCATACAAATTATTTTGCAGCGAAAAAGGGCAACCGGCAATCACTTGATAATTGAACTGAGAAGTATCTATCATCTTGAAAATTAGATGAGAGCAAATTGGCTATTTTACCCTACCGATCGCTAGCTAAGCCGATTTCACAACCCAACATTCTACGGAGCAAATATCGAAGAAAAATGCTTTTGATGTGCATTACCTATACACTCTCCCCAGACTCCATCTCGGTCAAAATTAGTAGAGATTGAGCACCATGGCTTGTTGTGATCCAAGTAAGTACAAGTGTAATGCTTGACGCCGTTATACTCGAAAGGAAACACACAGCAACCACCATTACCGTTGCCATCCCTACTCCACACGCCACAAGTGGTCCCTTAAAACCGGAACACGGCAATTTAAGAACAAAGGAAACATGGAAAACAACGTTACTCATTCTTTGGACGAGATGAAACTGAGAAATCCTCCAAATATGATGTTCTCGCTCCTTAAACAAGGAGTTTGTAGATCAGCATTTTAGAATGTATAAAAGCTATAAAACTGAATGAATGACAGGAAACTTGATTAAGTCAGTCTAAGAGTTGTATCGAGAAACAGTCCGATCGATTTTCTAGATTTCAGCGAGTCTAGTTCATTTTCAGGAGCAGGAAACGTTCTCAATCAGAGCTCTAACCTTCTTTTAAGATATGACGGTACAGACTCAATTGCTGAGAAAATTGTAATCTGTGCTAAAGTGGAATTTTGATCTTACCGTTATCCATTAAAGGTAAGCACTCTGCGCAGCATTTCCACTTTTTCTTGATGGGCTTGTCACAGTTTAAATCCGGGCATTCTATTTTAGAGCACTTTACATGACCATGTGAGCATCGACATTCTGGAATACAGGGACCTGGGGACCAGGCATCGCCATGATGTCGGACAACACCATCGTATACACAACCTAAGACAAGGAAAACACAACTTTGATAATCCACACTTTTTAGGAAGGTGTTTTGAATATGAAAGGTCTTCATTTTTGACACAAGTTTTGGCATACGTGTTCGTTGTGGTAGCCTAATAAAACTTTTGTCCCGTTGGTTTTTTTTCGAACACATTGTAGATAAGCATTGCATACGATTTATTGAAAAGAGATATGTAAGAATTGGAAGTTAGAGAATGATCGTTCTTTAAGAGTTCATGAAAATTATTAAAGTTTTTTATTATCTAGTTATCGATCTATTTTGGCAAGCATACTGATGAAAATAATATTATCGAAAAAATCATTACTTTGCATTTATGACAACATACAAACATCAAACAAATTACACTTCGATTTAAGACAAACATCTTAGGAACCTATAATTACTACAGGAAGTGAAAAAAAAATGACGATTAGAACAGGATAAAAATCACGTCTTTTTACCTTTATTGTGCGTGGCAACATTCGCTGGCAGTTTGATGGTTATGAAAGTCGATTTGCTTTCCTGCGAAGAATCTGTTGTCACAAAATTGATCAGAAATAAACAATTGGCGTTACAACAGGTTAACCAACATGAAATACTACGCTTTAGCAGGTGGTAAATAAAAGATGACAAAATCACAAATTTTTTTAATTCTGATAAAAAGTCTTAACGAATTTGGCACTTTTGTGTTCAATACCACTCTAGGGAAACGATCGATTACCATCGGCTAAAAAACGTACAACTATAACTGATATGTTTGGTCTATGGAAACTTTGATTACATTTACTACACACACTTCAATAATCATCGTTTTCCAAATAACTCGCAACCATAAATATCCACTTCACCATTATGAGAAAAAGCTTAGATTTTGATGCACTCTTGCATCAAGTCATTACGACTAAATTAAAACGGCTTCTGAAGTCGTGCAGTATACGGGCGCGAAATGACAAGCTTCATACTTAGTAACGTTATCACGTTTAAAAGAAAGGGTCTTTATTTTCCTTGCTGTTCGTTACAAATATGTCTGAAAACTTACCATCGTTGTTTTTGAAGTGCTTTTTCCCTTGGCAAACAATTAAACAAATCAGCAGTATAAACAACTCGGGTATTTCCCGTTCGAGAAATAAAAGTCGCATTTTTTGAGACAATTTTGTCGCTGCCTTCGGTTGAGGCAGTTTCAGAGTCACGTGACCACAGCTATTTTACGGTAGCTGATTTCGTTGGTTACTTACATTATTAAACGTTCTGTGGTAGACTTCACTTGATTTTCCTCAGTATGTGTGGAGGTGCCCATGTGATGGTCACTAAAACTGTTGGGATTAATTCAATAGTCTAAAATAAGATTATAGCTGTCCTTTGTAAAGGCCTATAATCGCCTTTAACCAGCGACATCAATTTGAGCGTCTCAGATTTTCCCGGAATAGAAATATTTTCCTGGATATATATTTAGGGAGCATTGGTTAAATAGAAACTCGAACGCTCTCCTCGTTTCCTCCCCGACCATTACAAACGATCGAGAATGTCTAAGATTCCTCACTCTACAGTTCTAGATCCCAACAATCATGGTCGTCCTAGCCAGAAAATTCATTACAATATTCCAGGACTTTTCTGAGTTTAGTCTCCTCTCCAGGGCTCCAAGCGCCTCAAAATGTTTTCAGATTATAGAGAGGATCACGTGGAAACGCCCCCCTCACGCTTGGCAACGGTAATGGTGGTTGCTGTGTGTTTCCTTTCTTGTATAACGGCGTCAAGCATTACACTTGTACTTACTTGGATCACAACAAGCCATGGTGCTCAATCTCTACTAATTTTGACCGGGATGGAGTCTGGGGAGAGTGTATAGGTAATGCACATCAAAAGCATTTTTCTTCGATATTTGCTCCGTAGAATGTTGGGTTGTGAAATCGGCTTAGCTAGCGATCGGTAAGGTTGGAGCGTTTTTAATCGTCCAGAAAATTATTGTGATCTCTATGGAAATTTCAACAATCGTGACATAGCAGAAGAAGAGAGGGATCCAAAATGATCTCAGCACATGTCATCTTTTAATTTCAGACCCGTCACCTTCTTTCAAGATTAGGCTTTGGGAATGGTAACCCATCATCTCTTTCAAAACTCATCTTGATTTTTATGGCATGTGGTGAGCATTGCTACTTTTCTTGGATGGGATGCAGGTGCATCACTTCCCTAGTACTTGTTAGTACTTTTTGAACAACCATGAGTGGAAAGATGTCTTGTCCTATAGGTTAGCGGGTTAGAATCGAAGGTCTGGGTTCGAGACTCGAAAGTCGCGGTAACTTAACAGGCCTGAAGCCGTATTTTAGCATAATATTTTAAACCCCCATCTTAAATGGAAACAGAAAAGCTTTACATGCTCGTTAACTAACCGGAAACTTCGAGAAACGGATCCCTAGCCAGGTAATTATGTTATTTTATAAAGGAAACAAGGTACTTTATCCTCACGGCACCACGCTCCATCCATAAGTATGGATTGGTGCTAGCAAATTGTAGGAGAAGCCTGCCACATACTACCATCCCACCCAGGGAAGTAACAACACTCCTTTCTAATCACGTCATAATATAAAGACTGGGATAAGGTCAATTGGATTGGCCATCTAACTCAAGAGCAGACTAAATCTTTTATCTAATTCAAACTCAAGAGTAGAGAGAGATGCTGTGAGAGCAAACTATCTCGCCATAGAACACAAGAAAATGACCAGGTCAGGGTTCGTCCTCTAGCTCATCGTTGGTCTGCTGGCAACCACGCATGCTTTAAGCCCATTAGGGACAGGGGACAGTTTGGATTTTATAACCAATGAGTTTCTCGAAACTTCTTCATGGTCTGTAAGGTTTTGACACCGTAGAGACTTTGCCCTGAGAGCTTTCAATTCGTCATTCTATTCTCGCTTCTTGCTTCATGTGTCATCTCACGGTCAATGACATTGTGGGCAGCAAGTCGAACTCAACTGATTTGCCTCCAATATCATAGTCCTAACAACAGTGCTCCTCCCTCGTCCCGCTATCGGCCGTTTTGAGAATAAAAAATCCTATTTAACGAAACAAAATCCCTGTACGGTTGTCAGACTTACAACCACATGGCTAAAGAAAAATTGTAGGCGAACACAAGTCAGTTGTTTGATAAATGCAAGACGTAAGTTTTCAGATAGTGACTTTATTTATTAATGCAGCGTTTAAACGGCTAACAACTTTTCTGTTCTCTGCAACAACATTCTCCTTGAAATGGTAAATGAACATTAGAAATATCATTAGAGATTAAATATACCTTTTTTAACTAAAAAAAAAATGAAAGGTACGACTGCATAGTGTTTAACTTTCTGTGATTCGTCTCTCCTCTTTCTCGCTGGTTTAGCAACCATGGTTTGTCATCTGTTCGTAGCGACCTTCTCCATCTGTTTGGAAACGAGAAGAGTTATAGTAGCTCATAGGAAAGCGTCTATATTTTACGCTTGATACCCCTTGGTAAACGATGTGTAATGAAGTGATTTCAACCTTGTCCCAAAGGGTTTTCACGATTCTTCTGAGACCCAAGGGCATTATTTTTACACTGTCAATAAAGGTTTTCCATTCATCGCTACGGGATAAACTAATTGCCGACCAGTTGCTATGGTGAAAATATATGACGTCAGGAAAAATAGGAGATTGATGTATATTTAAGTAATGAGTTTTCAAAAAAGTGTTTGATGTTCCTTCCGATCAAACAAGACTCGAGCACTCCGTCCGTTCTTTTTCTTAAAGAAAAAATATTGTTTTTTTTTTATAGAATTTGTTCAAAGCGTCAGCAATTTTTGGCATCTATTTTGAATAACGTCACAGGCCACAAATGATCGTGTTTTTCAATCTCCTAAGTGAGAGAAGTCACATAAAAGGATTTTTTATCGGTAGAATCAGCTTACCGTTTCGAAAACCAGAAAAATCATTACGATATGATTAATGTCATAGAAATAAGTTTTCAAGAACATTTTCTGTTACCTACCACATTTTTTTTAATGGTGTCCTTTTCCTTCGCTGCCGCTTTGTCCTGGTGGACACGGTTTGTCGGGGCAATAAGGATTAGGATCAAATACGACATCCTGGCTGAGATCTGTGCCACTGGACGTCACAGATACTGTTTGAGGGCCTTGGGCTACAACATTCACATTATTGGGGTCCATTTTGCCGACAACTTTCTGATGATTTTCTCCACTGTCAATTTTCAATTTGTGACCGTTTACAACTTGCTCCTCGTCTGCATCAGAAGAAGAACAAATGGACTAGATATCAGAGACGTCAGAGAGACCAAAAGTTAGCGAGTCAATATCACTCTGAAATTGATCTTGTTGGACGTTTTAATTAAGAATATTTAAACTTTTCCTTCGCCATGCCTGGTGCGTGATTATTTACAGTCAGTTTGAAGTCGTCAAAGATTAAGTTCGGTTCAATTCTGTTCATATACTTGCAACAATTAACTGCCGATGTTCGGAGGAAGTGCTTCCTTTCAATTAAAAAAAACCTGCCCGTAAACTTTTTGTTACTAAAAAGATTTTGAAGACGCTTTTGTAAATTAGCGAGTCTATTTTTCGCTGGGAGGGGGGGGGGTGGGAGGAGGGAATGGGGGAGGACGGGCAGGGAGTTGGCCATGCAAACTTTCCACGATTCTCACTATCTGTATTAATCTTAGTTACTACTCACGCTTTGGTTTCTGGGTCGCAACAGGTAGAGAACTTTCAAGGTTTTTAATAACCTTATTGGCAATCTTGTCGATGTGATGGAGCACGTGAGTCATCGGCGTCTCGGCTCCAGGTTTCGTTACAGATTTGTCCTCCTCCTCGGGTTCATGACCCAACTGCTCGGGCTCGTGCACGCGATTTACTGGCTCTTGTCCTTCTTCGAGTGAATCTTCCTTAGTTGGTTTTTGCTTTGGGCGTTTTTGATTTTCTTCGTCTAGTGTAAGACTCGCTTCATCGGGTAAATCTGCCTTGGTTGGTTTTTGCTTTGGGCGCGTTTGTTTTTCTTCGTCTAGTGTAAGACTCACTCTGTCATGCCCTGGTTTTTCTTCCTTCGATTGTTCTACTGGTGTCGAGGCCCCTGTGAGAGGAAGTGGTATGGGCCCTTTGAGACCTTAAATAAAAAAGAAAAGAAGTCAGGGGGGTTAGCTACTTATCAGCTTATAGCTTATTAGCAAATCATGGTTTATTAGCTTATAACTTATCAGTGTATCATGATTTATCAGGGAAACGATGAAAGCTTCGGAGACTGTTGTTTAACGATCAACTCTATACGATTATATTTCAGGAGAATTTATATCCCAACATAAATAAAGACAATGATCAGTCCCCCATGCGGCAAAAGTTAGAGATTTCTAATGTTAAATACAACTCCACTGCGCTGAAAATAAAGGTACATGTGTCGCCTCTACCTGTTTTCACATTCACCGAGCTACACTGCGGGCATGCGCCGCTGTCCTTTATCATGGTGATGGTGTGGTCTGGTTGCTGGTCTTCAGGGTGCACATTTAGCTGGCTGGTATCCAGGGAAACCGTACCAGGCCCCTGCATTGAGACAGACACACTATGTGGACCCATGTGTCCGGACACTTTGTTGTCTTTGTGTGATTTTTGCACCTGAACATTATACACGTTCAAGTTCTGGGGATCTCCAGGGGCATCCAACAGGGGCTGGTCAGCTGTGGCTTGTTGGTAATACTGTACAACCTGATTTTTCGGTTTTTGATCGGGTGCTATAAAGATTGGGATGATAAGGTGAACATTTAAAAAACTGCATAGTGATTGAATTTAATCCGAGCTAGAAAAGAGCCTTGAGTGTATTATTGCTCATGATTAACAATTCATTAATAACTAAAATAAGGTCAGAATAATTTAAACAAATTCCTTTTTTACGCTCAACAATCTTAAAATTTTGTAGCAACATTATAAGAGAAGCCTTAAAGGGGTAAACCGTTAGCTTTAAAGCGACAAAAATATAGTCAAATTGTCAAATTTTAACCGTTAGTCTTAGAAATAGATTATCCTTAAAATGTTCCTTCTACAAGGTGTCATTTTCTGTCATTTTGGGTTAATAAGCCGTAAAAGGGCCAAACATTTTGAACCTCAACCGTAAAAGCCATAACCCCATTGAGACCCTCTTATTAACTAAAAGTTACCACCTGAAGTCATATGGCATTAATTGTGTCAAGGACCTCAAAGCAATTGAGTCATTACTAAAGAAAAGATTCTTCTTGGACATTCGTAACAAGCTCGAGACAATGAAAACTCCATTTCCGAGTATGCTGTCGGACACCATTACGACTTATGAATTACATCGACTCCCCTGATATAACCTAGGTAAGCTTTGAGACCTTGTTTCGATATGAAGGTTCTCAGCCGGGCTATTCGAATTCCAGCCTGGATCAGATGAAAACTTAGCCTGCTGAATGAAGTGTCGAACTGATTGCCAAATCAAAAAATTTCCTCCTATCCTCAAACTTTCCAGGGTTTTAAGATGAATAATCTTGCTATCTATTTTTCTCTGGTCGCTAGGAACTATAAACTTTCATCACGAGCTCAATTTGTTTCATCAATGAGATAATTTAATGACAAATATGGCTCAAATTTCATGAAATCGCTCTTTCCTGTTAACAAGGCAATTCCTTATTTTTTTTCCATATATTTTGATCAAATTTTGTCATATGGATTCGCAGAGAACACGGAATGTTTTAATTAATGACTTCAGTTAAGGAATTAACTATTGTAAGCTAAATAAACGAGATGAAACGGCAAAAGTAAGATAAAACAGTTCAACAGGTAGAAGACATTCTTTTCATTAATCAGCAAGCAGTGGTGTGAGAGAAGATCGTTGGGGGGCATTGTTCTCCCTTTCAATGAAATCAATTGTAAATTGAAACATGTGCGTCAGCAGCTGAAAAGAATTTCTTTGCAAATGAACGGAAACAATGAATGAGTTTAAACTTCAACATCGTCAAAATAAAATTCCCATACTTCATTTTGATCTGCTTTCTGATTTCTACGTCAGTAAACAATTGCTTATTTCATATGTCATAATGAGACGTTTAAGTGAAGTGAAAAAGCGACAGGTTTTTTCGGGAACGTTATAGTCGAAATCACATTTTGTAGCACTTTTGGAAAGGAAATCTTAGAAACATTCGACTTCCAAGTTCCTTTTTTTCCATAAGCAATTAACAAAGGCTTTTTTTTTTTTTGTACCTGGTTTGGGTTTGTGGTGATGTCGGGGCCAACCATCTACCAAAACCACGGCCAAGAAAACCAACCAAAACTGACAATGGGACATGTTGTAATGAAAAGATCTCTATCTTCAAGTACGTATCAATGTCACCGAGTTCAGCTGTCTTTCGATTTATAAAATTCTGTTTTTGCCCCCGAACCCGTGACCCAAAACCTTTTCACGCTTGACATCATGCATTAGTTATTTCATTACTAAGATAATCGTGCTCGAATTTGAACCAATTTAATGGTGTTAAATTCTATTAGATCATCTAGTACTTTTTACAGGCATTTTTCGCTTTTAAACACTACGATTTGAGACTAGAAGTATAAAACACTTTCAGTATTATGCCTTTATGTCAAAGTTAAGAATAGACGGCTGTCAATGCTTTAAGACATTTGTAAACATATCGTCAAGGTATGTACCCGCCTTATTCAGTGAGCACCACTGCGCCACCCGATGGGTCAATTAGATGGTAATTAGCGGTTTAACTGTTTACTTCGATTCATGCAAGATACTGCGCTCTTTTTAGTTAAAAAACGCAGTCATCATTGCTTACAACGCACGTGCAAATGTAACGCTTTTCAAAATCGTTTGTGTTTCTCTAACCGTTAAATTTGGTTTGTCGATCCGTCTATCAGTTAAAAAGTGCCTGGCTAAAAGATTCTAAGAAGCGACAGGTCACATTTGTGCTTTGTTACCCTAGCAACTTGTTGATTGTCATGGGCAATAGACATTCCGTGAGTGATTGAAATAAACCCCGCGCCGTCGTTAGCGATCCATGACAGCATGTGGTTGCATGAAAACATGTCAAGAATTCTCAAGTTCATACTTGTAAATAGCCTGTTCCTCTGCCAGCCGAGGGATGCGCAATGAGTTTAACGATACGGGAAAGAATTCCTTTGCCCAAACCTATGTCCTCTTTTTCTTGATGATGTCCCTTTGCTAAGCTGGTCACGTTGCACCTAGACTCTATTCGCTCACTACTGTCGAACCTGTATTAAGCGGTTACCCCCTCTTAAGCGGCCACTCCGTATTAAGCGGTCGGTTGTCAAAGTCCCGAATCTCTACCCCCTTAATTACTGCAGTTCTAAGTTTTATTTAGCGGTCACCTCTATTAAACGGTCCTAGTCACCCTTTACTGAGTCCCAACGGCCTGTTTATATTGTCATCCACCTGTAAAGAACGATTACTTAAAGTAGAAGTACTCAAAGAAAACAAGGGAGAATATTTCAAGTTAAATTTCATGCTTGTTTATCTCCCGAAAATCAGTGTTAGTAGTATTTTGAGCGAGGTTTTGTGTATTAAGTGGTCAATCATTGCATGAAATTGTGTTTTTTATCATTTTTTTTAATACCCCTATAATGTGGAACCTGGAAGCGGTGAACCTATATTAAACCAGGTGCAAGTATTTATTGCTCAAAGAAATTAATTTGCGTCCGGCCATATTGACTACAAATCAGCAACGAAGTGACGAAGTCGTTTAGCCTTAGTCTTTACCGTAGCTTCTGTTTGGTACCCAGCTAGCCTTGTAAAAAAATTATCCAAGCGTTTCTTTATTATTCCTCTCACCTCATGAAATTAAAATTAGTGAAAAAGAGCTGTTAGTTTCGTCCTACGGAAAACTGGCTAAATCAATGGTGGCAAGAGAGACAAAGACGCATACACAACTATTTTTCCAAAAAATAGATCCCATGCAGTTTAATGGTCTTCTGCCGGCAAGGGTAGAGTTTAAAAAAAAACCTCTCGCACAGTAAATAAACAGCCACAGGGCCAAAAATAGAAAATGAATACGAAAAATTTTTATGGAAAATTTACATCAATGACACAAATTTTGCCTTTTTAAAATTCAAGAAATGTTTTGATCACTTACCTCACCACAAAGCGAGGCTGTTTTGAGAATTCGGCAAATTTTTCTTTTTTGCGCCATGCTGTTGTACTCACCGGCCCTCTACACCCTAACATCAGTATGCATATTCTCCATAGTGTTCCCTATACATTTTCCAAGGTGCCGTGGAGGAGAATTTGTTAAATAACCAAGAGCTTCTTGAGTTGGTGATCATTTCCTTTATTCTCATGACGTTTATGTGTGATTCAGGGGTTATATTGTAGGGAGAAATTTTAGCTGCTAGTCACGTGATTCTTAGGGGTCAAAAGTTTAAAGAAGCATGATTTAGGATTTTGATTATATTTCTTTATTTCTGTCAACAATTAGCAAGTTATGCAGGGAACCTATGGAATTATGTAAATAGAATAACTATAAACTACAGAATCCCATTATGATACACGTCTATTTGCCATTAAATGATCTGCTCAAATTTAGCTCTAGCAAAAATGTCTTTAAAAGACTTAAAAGTAAACTTACAATAACTCTGCAAGTGAAAAACTGCGGAAACCCAAACGAAGTGGAAACAAAAACATGGTAGGAATATAACACAAAATTATTTTATACCAAAAATTGATAATCCGTTACGGCAATACTGCAGAGGTTTTGGTGATGAAAGTCTTGTCACTAGAATTGCTGAATAACCCTTTATGACATGCAGGACATCGCAAGCAGAATTTGAAAAAAATTGAACCTTTCGAAAAATATATCGACGAAAGTTGCATGCTCCACAAATCAACTTTCTCCTCATCTACAAGGATGTCTAATTTGCCAAAAATGAAATTGAAAAGTGAAGCTACAACGCACGAAGCTGGCTGAAGAACTCTTTAAACTTAACTTTGAACAAATTTTGAGATTCGCTTCACAACAGAAAAAAAAGTCTCTGGTAAACAAGAGACTAGAATTAAAGTTTATAGTCCTTTTCTTTTTCTTTTTACTTCTATTTTATGTTTAAGTTTTTCTTTCAACGGATAACAGTTAGGATCTTGGGTCGGTTTTACTTCGAACAGAGTCTGCACTTGAGCCTGCAGTTGGTCTGCAGCCATGTTTCCCTGCAGCGGTCATCAGGATAAATTCTACACACGCTGTGGTCAGAGCAAGTTTGAGGTGCTGTTGAATTTGAAAGAGAGTGATTATTAATAAAATTTAAAAATTCTTAATTTTTCATGAGTTTTGAATCTTTCTTTAGAAGAACCATTAGAATGTGAGAGTACAAACAGTATACAGCAATTTCATTACCGCTGTAATAGGCAGCCGGAGCGGGGGCTGGAGGGGCTGAGACTACTGGAGCTGGCTGCGAGTAAGCTGATGCCGCAGGAGCAGCCTGCACAGCCTGGGCTGGTGACTGGGTTTGAGGAACTGCCTGGTCAGCGCTGGGTGTTTTTTGAGGAGCAGCTGGAGTCTGGGTGGACGCCGCGGAATCCTTGGAGGGCGACTGCTGAGGTGCATTTTGGGATAACCCTGGCGTGCTCTGAGGGGCAGCTGGAGTCTGAGTGGAGGCTGTTGAATCCTGAGAGGGGGGCTGCTGAGGTTCCTTTTGGGATGAGCTTGAATCAAAAGCAGGGGCCTGGTCTTGAGGAGCTGTGTGATCGGCACTAGGCGCGCTTGGAGGGGCAGCTGGTGTCTGTGGTGAACTAGCAGCATTGGTCTCCGTTGCATCTTTTGCATTTAACTGCTTAGGTGCATCTTTGGAAGTTTCTGAGTCTGTAGCATTTTGAGAGGTCGTTTTATCTGATGCATCCTGAGAAGTCGAAGGACTTGTCGAATTCTGCGAGGCAGACGGCTCTGATACTTTCTTGGATGTTTGTGTTGTGTTCTGGGAAGCAACCTGATCTTGGGGTTTGTCCTGTTCATCTGTGAAAGAAAAAGACAATTGTCAATCCAGGTTCATCCCTCGGTTATTTTTTAGAAGGCTCATACCTTTAGAATTCGTCTCAGACTTCTGAGCAGCACTTTCCACAACTGCTTCTCCTTTGGTAACCCTCATCCTCTCCTTATGGTTTCCTTCGATGACCTCCACGCTTGGCTTTGACGAATACTTGACTCCCTTTTCAGGAACATCAATCTCGATATTTTCAATGAGGGGTTTTGTTATATTTTGCTTTAACACCATCATTGGTTTAACGTATCCTTTGGTGGAGTTGCTTCTTGGTGGCATGATGCGGATTTCCTGGATCTGTGGGACACCATCTTTTAACTTTGGCTTGACTCTGATTGTATACTTTGCCTCGAGGGGCTTAGGTCCCGAAGCAGGAGCGACTAAGTCCGCCTGGAACTCGGAAACCTCCGGGGCATCGTCAGCACTCCCTGTTACATCCTTGAGGTCTGTAGCTGTGGTGTTCCCGCTTTCCTCTTTTTCAAATGAAAAGGGGAAAGTATCAAACAAAGAGGCCCATATAATAATCGACTAAGCTCAAATCCATTGAAACTTGCAAAGCCACCTAAAAGAACTACTCTATGTATTTCAATGGTTTCTGACGACAATTTTTTAATTCTGCAAATTCATACTTTTTCCCGCTTTTCGAAATTAGTTTGTTAGTTTGCTAAAATTGTGGCTAAAACAACAGAAATGTTCTCTTTTGAAAATGTTCGATTTTATAGTCAACAGGTGTAACGAACTGATAAATCCAATGACTGAGGCGCTCTTCAAGGCTGCGTGTTGGACCAAAATCCTAACTATTGACGAAGAGACCATGAGAGTCTCGATGAGGTGATGGCTTTTACGGTTAATCAATTGGACAGTTTACGTCTAACGGCTAATATCATTCCATGGTGGTCACCACGGTTTATTTTTTTTACGACTAACGGTTTAAAACATTTTTCAATTTTTACCCCTTGCGGCTAAATTTTTTTGGACGTTTTACGACTACAGGTTAACCCCATTGAGACCCTCGGCTATGGAAGAGTATTTAGTTTGCTGTCATAGAATGTGTTTCTTCTGAGTAACTTGGTTCTCATGATGACAAAAAAACAGAGCAGAATTCTGCCGCTGTTTTACCACCTACGCTATTAACAAAGCCTACGAATTGAAAGCCAACTACTGGTACTTATGTCAAATCCGACACGCATGATCAGTTACTATATAAAAACTGTGGTGAAGAATGTTCTTCATGTGAAGATTTTCCACTCATATCAAAAGCTAAATTTTGAAAACACTTTTAAATTTACCTTCGCCTAACTGTTTCACAAGAATAAAGTTGCCGCTTTCATAAGACTTACACGTGTTTTTGTATGTTAAACTTCTTTCCAAATTTTCATAAAAAACGCGATCACAAGTCCAACATTTTTCATATTTACTGTAGAAAAAGCCAGCCAAAAAAATATGAGTTTTGTTTGATAAAATAAGAACCTCATGTCAGACGGATTGGACCGGTTTCATCAACTCCAGATTCAAGTATGAAAACATTATTTGATTATGGATTTTGGACTTTTTCCGAGATCGAAGCAAGTTGGCCTTCCTAATGATTTCTGGTCATCTTTATGTTTTGGCCTCATCCAGAATCTTTTTATATCACATTACTTTAGTGTTTATTCCTTTTCTGTTTTGGATCAATAAAGTGACGAAGTTTAGTCTGAATTCTTGTTTTTCTTTAAGCGGTTTCCGAATCTTACCCGTTGAAATCATGTTATGTAGGCCAATTCCAAATTATTTTGACTTTAAAACTGGTAGTAACCAACCAAAGTGTCAACACTTACCTCGAGCAAATCTTTGGATATTTCTTCCCTCGGTTAGGGCTAAGCACACGAATAACAGGGCGATTTTTATCATTTTTTTTCGAGAGTAGGCTAACGTTCACTTTGTCACTAATGGATTTCTCTGCCAAAGACTGACAAGTTTGAAGATGTCAGCTCACGAAAATTTTAGGAAGGCTTTTTACTGGTGACCTTTCTGCTTAATGGGCTGGAAACATCCCTTTGTTACTTTAAAAACCTACCGAGCTTATACGTAGGTCCATCGGCATTTCAAACAAAAAACAATTATCGCATCGGATGGTGAACACGCCAGCTTTTCCATTATTATCGCTTGTAAGTAGAAACTTTAGATCTATTGCTCGAGTCCATTTCTTCCATAATGCACGTGGGGCGGTATAAATGAACATTTCGTCATACAGTTAAGAAAACCACAGTGACGGGTTTGTACCGGGGAGTAGCCTTGGATTGTACAGGAGATTGTCAGGGTTAAAGCAGTTGTTGGTAACAGTAACTGACGTTTCGATGAATTTTAGTGGAAGTCATTGACAGAGTCAAGTGACGCTGATGATGACTTCCACTCAGGTTGCCATAACGCTTCAGCCACTGAAACTGACAATAACTGACAACGGTTTTTTCAGAACTGCTCTCCTCTGAGTGGACGATCACATTCCAACGTTGTGTTTAGTCAAGTAGGTATGACTAAATAAATACTTATAATGCGATCGACGAGTTTTAACGCTAGCTTTTAACCGTATACGTATCTAGATCGCTTGCAAGTCGCGTTATGATGAAAACAGGAAACGAAATTTCTAATGCAAGCTGTTCAACTTTGGTTTGGCCACTAGCACTAGATTTGGGGCAACAGAAGAAAATAAAATTTATAATTTTCTGAACATAAGAGCATTGGGTTTGAATAAAAGGATACTATCAGCAAATTCCCTGGAGCAACGCTAAGGGGCGTGGAGATTGTTCCTTTTAATTTGTTCATTAACGCATTTCTTCATTCATTCAATTATCCTTTTTGTCATCTACTAGCACGTTCATTCAAATTTACGTTCGTTTGTTAATTCAATAAATAATGTACACAAGAAAAATTACGCGCTTCTGATTGGCTGAAAACGAATGCATTCTCATATAACGCAAGTGCAAAATTATAACACGAGTACAAATTACAAATAGCGCGCGCACCCGTTCAAAATTTCGTCTGCTTTGACTTTCTCTGTTGTTTTCTCATGTACATTGTTAACAAGTAAAATCGTGATTTCTCTTGCAATTTGGAGTAATAAGCACTTGTAAATTTTTCACAGACTACAAACTGCACGTGCCTAAGGGTTCGTGCATATTTTTGTCTTAGAAAAATTTTATAAATGTCCATTTACACTTACCTATACAAATTCTTTCCTTGTTTGGTCCACGATCGTGCATTTGCTCGTTCGTAGATTCAGAAATTCTTCCCTTCCGATTTGTTCAACGATCATTTACTGCCGAGCTGAGCTCGAAACACATGTACGTTCATTTATGACGATTTTTATTTAAAGAATAAACATGCACTTCACAAGCAAAATAGAATTTAGTAATCCAAAAGATGGCATCTGTATTCATAGAATAGCTATATGTTTGATTCACGATGACCTCTCACCACTGATTCACGTCTCTGGAAAAAAACCTGTGATTTAATTAAGTAATCTAATAATTGAATATAACACCGCACCTAGACGATTTTAAAACAATACTGATGACTCGATTTTCCCTAACTGAACTGAGAACAGCAAGCTGCACATTACAAATAGCCTCGTGCACAAAAGAGATCAAAGTTAGTTATACTAATTCCAAATTAAGGTCGATTCTAATCTACTGCTAAATCAGTAATGAAAACCACAAGGCAAAGCCATAAAGTGAAGTAACGCCATCAGCTGACTTGAAGCCCTAAGAGTTTTTTTTATCTACAGCTGCAGTCACGTCCAAAACCTGAGAGAGAAAAAATATACAAAATCAGGTTTTCAAGAATATCCAGTTTCTTTTCGTGTTCACTTGGCTGTGGGACTCTCCCCTTTGACATGAATATGTTATAGTTTGACATTCTTCTCCACTGACAAAAATTTTCCATTTTAACCACACGGGCTTTTTTTTTTCCTTACACCTTAATTGCTCCGGTATAGAGGTGACGGACCTATCGTCTCCAGCCAAGTATTGTTGCCGCTTTTTTCTCGTTCTCGTTTTGAAGCTAAAGAACCGCATCTACCCACCCTCCCCTTCCTTTGCCGTAAAAACAGGATTACGGCACCCAATAAGCCTATTTTGTTGTTATGATAACAACTTAGCAACTCGTTTGAACTTGACGTTATTTGGTTGGTTGGTATGTTAACGGTAATTAAAGATCTTCATGCATAGGAGAATACTTTCATCTCTCCCCGCTTTCATTCAAAAGTAAACCAAAATGCATACCTTTTAAGTATTTAGCATAGTTTGCACAAGCTCTTGCAGTTTTCTCTCAGCCACGGATCTGCACAACGATCAGCGGTGTATGGTGCACATCTGCCATCATCAGTACAAGTTTGGGCTGTGAACAACACATAATTAAGCAAAATTATGCACAATTCGTAACAATTCGTAACAATTCGTAACAATTCAACAATAATATTGATACAGACGAAGTAACTTACTACTGGTATAGGCAGCAGCTTGAGCAGCTGATGTATCGGGCTGAGTAGTTGCAGCGCTGGTGGCATCGGTTTGGGTTGATGTGCTAGCAGTAGCAGCTTCAGGAGCTGCAGCGGTGGCTTGGGCTGTTGTGGTGGCTTGGACTTGGTCTGCCTGGTCAGCCGATGTTGCAGCTTGGTTGTCTAATGGAGACTGACTCTCTGAGTTTGTTTGATCTTGGGTGGCGTTGTTTGAAGCTTCTTGTGTTACTGGGGAGGATTCAGTCTGGTTGCTTGCAGTTACATCAGTTGCCTCTTTTTCGGGCTTTGACCCTTTAAATTTCATATTTCAACAAAAAACGATGCAACTCAGGAACTTACATCAAAATTAAATCAGTAAAAACAACATTTGTTGCAACTAAATTGATTCTTTTCTTCACATCAGCAATCAACTCAAAACAAACGTAGGGGTAAAATTGCGATCTATGGCTGATCTATAAGAGAGATAGAAGCCTTTAAAAAATACATGCTTCAGACCTCTCTACCTACAAGAACTCCTCCCTTTCCATTGTAAAAGATCATTACAGCAGATCTACACCCTCCATCCTACCTTCAGGCTCCGTCTGAGACTTCTGCACGGGATCCTCTACTATGGCCTGTCCCTTGCTCACTTGTAACATCTCTGTATGATCTCCTTCAATGACCTCCACGCTTGGCTTGGAACTAAATTTGGCACCCTTTGGTGGGATGTCGATCTCAATATTCTCAATCATAGGCTTAGTTATATTTTGCTTCAGCACCATAAGTGGTTTTACGTATCCTTCGACCCCAGCCTTGTTTGGAGGCATGATGCGGATCTCTTGTGTCTGTGGCACGCCGTTAAGTAGCTTAGGCTTCACTCTGAGAGTGTATTTGGCCACAAGGGGCTTGACTCCGGGGGCTGGTGCAACCAGATCCGACTCCAGGGTGGCGTTCTCCTTAAGATCGTTCACCTCAGATGGATAAATCTCTTTGGTCTGAGTGGCTTCAGTGCGGCTCTGCGCATCCTCGGCTGCAGGAAAGGAAACCCGTGTTCGAAATTAGCAAAATGTAAGACTGTGAGTAAATGTGAAACGTTGATTTGTTAAAGGAAAACATGTTGAGCTCGTGATCAACCAAACATCTTGACGACTTGCTTACTTTTGCAAAGGTTGCATCTCTTGGGACAATTGATCTGCCACCAGGTGTCGTTGCAGTTTGAGTATCCATAGGCACAGTCTTTGTACAAGTCATTGCAATAAACGCCGAAAATGTGGGTCACTGAAATAAGATAAATAAAATATCTAATACATGCAATCTGAAATGGGAGGCTGAGTTCTTTTCTCATGGAGAAAAACCAGTGGTTCGATTTTCAAATTTGATAATAGGGGCATAACAAATGAGAAAGAGTCACACTTTTACCCACAATGCAGATTAGGGTATTTCCTGTGAGTACAGAAAATTTTCTTAATGCGAAGCCTCACTTTTTGCAGAAATTGCAGGTTTCATCTACTGATTATTGCTGTGTTTTCCTCAACACTTAGAGAACAGAGGAGTATTTTACAACTCAAATTATATATTTCCATTTTCCAGCGTACGGAGGCCTTAATCATTCGAATATACGCAAGAAGATGAACATGGGACCACTTACATGGTGGAGCCTTTGGCATATCAGGGCACTTCTTGCAACCTTCTGGTCTCGGCTGTTTCTTGCAACACGTCCATGGGTAATCAGCGGCATTCTCTGAATCCGCCTGTTGTGGGTCTACAGTGACATCCTGAGTAAAGGACTGTCCAGTAGACGTCAGATCTAAAGTACCTGGACCAGACAAAGTAACACTTGCAGCATTAGGGCTAAAATTTCCTTGCATTTTACTCGACTTATCCGAGTTGACAAGATGAAGTTTGTGTTGTGAAGTTACCTCTTCTTCTGATAAGTGGAATGGTGACAGTGGTGAAGCATTCGGCGATTCAAGTGTTTCCTCTGTGGATGCTTTGTCTTTCAGAAGCGCTGATATGGCCAATGCGTTTGGTGATGATGTATTTTGTAATTGTGGACTAGTTTGATTTTGTGCGAGTGCTGATGATTGCGTCAAATTTTTTGATAATGAAGAATTCTCTGACAATGACGTGTTTTGTGACAGTGTTGAATTCTGTGAAAGTGGCTCTATCCATGGTTGAGACTGATTTAATGAGGTGATATTACCTTGTGCAAGAAAAATTAGCGTCTCCAGTTAGCATTACAACATTGAGCAAAACGATAATGAGAACAACACAACCATAAACTACTGATATCAGAGATTGTTCCCCAAGGCAGTAAAACTCGTATTGTGGTCTAAAAGAAGAAATACTACTCGGGACCAAAAAAAGAAACAGTCTAACCAACAGAGCAGACAAAAATGGTAAAAAAATTCATTTGTGGTTGAGAAACATAAAAATGTATCATGAAAGAGATAATTAAATATGTAATATGTGAGCTTCCTATGTAGTAGGAAAAAACAGCATTTAGGTGTGTACATTTGAAAAAAAA